TCCTGGGAGGCACGATGGAGTGGATCATGATTAAAGTGCGCGTGGGCTACGAGACCTTCTGTGAGTGGGGTGCAGCAGCCCCCGGGCCCTCTGGGGGGAAGGGCGGCGGCAGGGGCACGACCCGGCCTGCCCGCGGGGGTACCTGTCAACAGCCGGGACGCCCTCGCCCAGGCCGCTGACGCTGGGCCCGGCACGCACCTGCTCATGGCTCCGTGGGAGGGTCCCGAGGACTCGTGGCCCGTGTCCTCTCCGGATTCCAGCCCAATGCCCTGGCGGGGCGGGGCTGCCGGCTCGGCTGTCACCATTGCCTTCCCGGGTAAGAGTGGCCGGCCCTGGGGATCAGCACTGCGGAGGGAAGGCCTGCATCGCTTTGCCTGGCACTAGCTCTGGGAGGCCAGTTCCTCGTCCAGCAGGGCGGCCGTCCGCTCGACCCCTACCCGGTGTTCCTCTCCAGAAACACGAGTTATCGCCAACCCTCATCTGAAAAACGTTGTTATGTTAGTGTTTTCCGGAGATACTTTACTCCTTCTGTCCCTCCATTCGCCAGTATTTACTGAGCTCTGTCGAGGAATAGCGAAAAGGTGGAGGGCGCCCACCCTAGAAGAGCTCTAAGGGGACACAGAGTATGAAGACCACTGTGGCTATGTGACTAGTGCTGTGAGGGCTTCCCGGAGTTACCGTGCAGGTAGGAGCCAAAGACAGAGTAGGTGTCAGTCAAGGGAGAGGACGCTTGTGGGGTTAATGCCTGGTGCCAGTGGTAGCACAGACCTGGAGGCCATGATGTGAAACATGCTGGGTCGCAGGGACCAGAACAGGTGAGCACAGCAAGGTAAGTGGTTTCCCGCACCAGGAGACTTGAAGATACGCAAATACTGATCAGGAAGGGGGGTGGACCGGCTGGAGATGCCTTGGCCCTTGAGAAGGTGGGGGGGAGTATGGGTTCAGAGCGGGGCAGGAGTACCCCTGGGAAGTTAGCTGGAAGAGCTACTGATGGCTTTCCTGTGTGAAGAAAGAGTTCACAGCCTCTTGGGAGTGGGTAAAGGAGGGGCAGGGTCATGGCTGAGGGAACAGGGCTGTTGGGCAGCACAGCCGACCCAGGTCATCAGCTGGCCTCCCGCTGCAAAGCGAGCAGGGTGAGGTATGGAGAGGGAAGGAAAGTGACCTGTGGTTAGGGCTCTGAAGTTTTGAAGGAGTGGCAAGGTGATACTGGTAAGAGGGGGAATTTCATCTGGTTTGGGCAGGAAGAGACAGCAAGACGGGTCAAGATGGTATTCAGGGACCAGGAGTCTGGGGAAGCTGGTAGAGTTCAAAGGGCAGAAGGGCTAAAAAGGTGGAAGAGGTTGCGGCCAGAGCGGAATAAATGATTCCTTCAGAGGAACACTTGAGCAGACGGCAGAAGATGAGTGGAGAAGGCAGGGGTGAGGGCTGGTGCTTCGCGCCTGCGGGCGGGAGTTCCCCGGGCAGACGGACGGCCCAGGGCAGGGCTAAGGGGCCTGAGCTGGAGGCCAGTGTTTTCAGGGACCCAAGGAGAGTGGGGAGCGGGCGCCGGCGCAGACGGGATGGCGGCCAGTGACCTAGGCCCCACGGCAAGGGGGTGGAGCATCAATGGTCTGGAGAAGCAGGGGCTCAGAACAAGGACGCGGACCTCACTTCTCCACCCTGGGTTCTTGGGAGCAGCCGGTAGCCGCAGGGCAAGGAGTGCCTTTAAGGGGCCAGGTTTCCAGAAAAATGAGTTCAGAGAGAATAGGCGTTGTGGGGTAAGTCCCGAAACACTGCTAAGGGATGCCGTCTTTGAAGACACTAACTCTTTCAGCAACTGGAGTCCAGGACCCCATTAACACAGTCCTCAGTTAACTCAGGTTGTTTTAAATTAAGTTTATTTTGGCACGGGGTTAGACCTTAATGCTGCGATTCAGAAACAGGTGACAGACTTAGACTAACGGTTAAAATTATGCAGATCTGAGTATTTCAGTTCCTCAGTTTCTTAAAAGCCTGAGTAAAATTTCTGTTTGATACAGACGACGTTTACCGGAGGAAAGCCTCAGAAAGACGGTACCAGAGAAGGCTGGACGCAGCAGCAGAGACCGAGCCGCAGCGCGCGATAAAGTGAATGGGAAGTTTTACTGCTGGTCTCAACTCCTTTAAAAATACTTTTCAGGTCCCTTGTTCTTACTCGGAACTGCCTTTACAAAGAATGTTTATCGTTTCCCTGTCTCTGCTTGAATACAAATACCTCCCCAGACATGGGTGGACAGCACCTGTGAGAAAATAATTTCCTCTTAAGACACCCCCACCCATTGAATCTAGTCCATGAAATATTTCTTAAATGATTCAAGGATCCATCAGGACGCTTTTCTGTGCTGCTTGAATTGTTTGTGACATCCTGTTTCAGGCAGCAAATGATAACCTTGTTCACGTCTCTTCATGGACATGAGAGTAAGCTCTATTGCAGGGCCATTGAAACCAGGATAATGATGCAGATCGCATTTCTGCCGGCTGCCAATCTGCGAGCGTTTTGCTGGGGTGGTGGGAATCCCTCGCTGCCCAACACAGCTCCTGCTAAGTGCCCCTGTGAGCAGAAGCGACCCCTTCCCTTGCCCGGCTCTGCTGGCTGACAGGCAGGGCTGGGCCTCCGTGGGGTCCGGAGGCTGACAGACACTGCGCTGAGGAGGCCCTCATCCACTGCTCCCTGAGACAGGGGAAGCGCACTGGGGCAGTGGCCGCTGACTGCAGCTGAACCAGAGGCTCAGTCTGCTGGGAAACAGACTCTCTGCAGTTCGGCCCAGAGTACGTTTGGGCCAGCTGGTAGAAAAGCAAAGGCTTTTGAAAAAATCCACGCTTGGACAACCACATCCAACACCTATTCAAACAACGTGGTGGTCTACAGATTAAAGATTTAAGTTTCAAGACATTTTCTCACTTGGTCATGAATGAGTACAGCAGATGCTGAAGCCAACAGGGTATTATTCTCCAGCTGGTGACCCCAGCCACACACACATCTCTTCCTAAATTTTTCTAAAGATTTTTTTCCCCTAGTTTTAGTCTATCTATGTTAGAACTAACTCAGTATAAATAAACAGCCACTATCAACTATACTTCCATAAGAATAATAAAGAGCCACTGACTGCTCAGAGACAGCTTGAGTGTGAAGACCAGTGCTGGCCAGGAGGACAGGGAGAGGTGGCCGTTCCCACCTGGGACATTGCTGAACCTAACCTGATAGGCATCTAAGTGATGAGACTGCTGCAGAAGAAATGAAAATTGTGGTAGGATTCTCTGAACTGTATGACCTTCCTCCATTTGGTTCCCCCCTTCACTCCCAGGTGTAGAAGTTGAATATTTGATACACAGAGCATATGTACCATAAATAACTGTTATAAAGAATAGCTGTAAATGCTCAGAAGACCACCAGCTAACCTCTGTTGTGGGCTCTTTCCCTGGCCCGCCCCCCCATTTCCAGGTGGCCCAGAGAGAATCACTAGACTGAGATTTGTGTTAACCTTCCCAAGATTTTTCTCTTTTTTTCTTTGCTTATTTAGTGAAGGACACCAAACCTTTGAGGATGACAAGACAATGTCTGACTGCAAGGCAAGCAGACTAGCAAAACAGTTACTGTATCGCACTGAAGACACTTTGAGAGCACATTAGTCCGGATGCTGCAGTAAGAATAACCTTTGTTAATTAACCAAGAAGCAAGCTTTTTAACTTTGACTCAAAATTTCTTTACCCCTCCTACTAAGGAGTATGACTCTATCCTTGCCAGACAATGGAACTATTTAAGGGAACTTAATCATTTAAGGATTAAGCATTTAATCTTCAATGCTGATTGTAGAATGGCAGTGCCCTCTAGTGTGAATGAGACAAAAAAAAAACCCCAATTTCAAAAACTGCAATGCTTATTCTAGATTCACAGACATCTGACTGGCATTTCTGGAAGGAACTCCACCACTGTGGTGCTGGGGACTCTGGGCTTCCGAGCTCCACTTGGCCAGCGGGGAGAGCGCCCCCGTCTGGCACAGAGCACGCGCTCAGCCGCGGGGCCAGGCTCTGCTCAGTCATTGGCAGCCCTGCCGGCATCTGAGGCTTAACTTCACGTTCATCTCTCTTCTTTTAAATCTGACTTTTTCACACCGAGCTACCTCTGAACCGTGGTGCTGCCAGGCAGCGTCTCTCCTAGTAAATCGGAATCAGGGCTTAGGTCTCCACACACGTGTATTAACTTTGGAACTGCCTGCCACATTTACGTGCAATCCACAAGACGTGAGTATCACATGTACTGTGGGGACAGAAACAGTTTTAATTTGTTCCATTCTTACCTTTCACTCAGCTGACCTGGTATATTCCAAACTAAAAAGGAGCTCAGGAATCCCTAGTGGTATCTGCTTGCCCAGTGTTCAGCTGGAATGTTTAGCTGTACATCAGTGATCACTCAAAACATGTCGTGAGCACAGATGGCAGCAGTCCTGCCCCAAACTTTTAGGAGAACAGAGCCACAGGGATTTGCAAAGTGATGTCAGAGGAGAACAGTTGGTTGATTTCACCAACACCTTCTCATTAAAAGTGTGGTCGTGTTGTAAGAGCTTATAAGCATGTTAAAGATGTGCCTGGGCCACTTGTCCCCTCTGGCCATAGACAGCTGACTTGCTGCTGTGTGACAGAGGGTATGCTTTCCTTACCTTCTGCCATGAGCAAGTCTCTTCAGTTTTAACTTCAACCTGCCTTTCTGCCCATGCTGGGGACATGTTAGGCATTCCTTGGCTGCCAGCCTAAAACGCTAGGGGTGGGGCACGTCTGGCTGCTGTGGGACCACATTCGATTTCTGTGTTGCTGCAGCCTGAGCCCTGAGCTAGGGTCTGGACACCACTGCTGCCTCCACCCGAGGCGCTCTCTCCCCTTACACTGGCCCCTGAACCCCTGTCAGCATAAAAGGTTTGCAGGGATCACACCTGCCTGACACCAATACAAGCTTTCACAGAACAGCCAGACCTGGTTAATCCGAATCACTTTGCAAACTCCATTTTTATTTGGATTAAAAAGCTTTAAATGAACAAACATATGATACATACATGTTATAAGACTAGTTACCACTTAAACCTCTTTTGATACAGAAATTAGAATAAACCATGTTTCAATCAGGTCTGAAAATGTTCAAGCGACAATGTTCAAAAGTCAACGACACCAGTTTGGAGATTTTACACAAAGAAGTGTCCCTTCTCAATTTTTCCTCATAGGAAGAAAGAGAAGGGTGGGTTCAAAAACAAAGCAATTTAAGGCCTTTTAAATCAACTGGCTGACATACTATTTTAAACCTGTAGGTTTTTTTCCCACATAAACAAAATTCTTTTCCATATGAACTTACATTTTGGAAACAGTTAGGCTATTATATTTTCTAAGCCATACTACAGTTCCTAAAATTCATGGCAAAAGAAAAAAGATGTATAGTTTATTAGTACTTTCTCATTAGGACTTTGTCTTTTTTAGTTTTTTTTTTTTCTTGGAAGATGGCTGACCTCGTCTTATATCCTAAATATTGACTGGTATTCTCCAGGTTAATATACAGAAAGACATGATTCTAAAATAAATACTTTTTTTTTTTTTTAAATTAGGGCCTGCCCAGTGGCCCCCGGCCCAGCTCTGCACTGCCTTAGGGAAGCCCCTGGCCACCCCTGTGGCTCCTCCAGGGCCTCGTGCCTCTGGGAAGGAGCCCGGAGGAGGAGCGCTCTGGCTTCCAGTGCCCCCCAGAGCCTGCACGAAGAGTTTTTAGAGGCTTCCCAAAGAAGTCTCATCCAGACCTTAAAAAGGAAAATAAAATGGGTGCATGAAATAAATAAATAACTTAGCCAACATTAAATTTCAGGTTCTTTGGTGTGATTCAAGGATGTCTAGAGATAAAACGATCTGATTGTATCATACAGCCCATGACGGTTCAATGGCCCGAACAACCAGGAACTGATGATGTCCATCTGACCCATTCTAACAGTGAGGCACTGACACACTACTGCGACACATTTTTAAAGACCCAGAATTATTTACTTGATGCAAACTGAGATCCAGTGGTTGACTATAGGCAATTAAGTTACAAGGGCCTCCTATATTAAAGTACTTAGATACAAGAGACTTTTTCCATTCTACACGCTTTTCTCCCCATGATTTAGTAAGAATGGTAATTCAACATCCAGGTGTTGATTCATAACAGATTAAAAATGAGGAAAGCTTACTGAGAATCAGACAATTTACAGACAGCAGTGGAAGCTCCACCACCCAGCAACCACCGTTACAGTAAAGCGGGTTTCAAAAAGTACCAGTTGGTACCGTCCACACTGGCTGCCTTTTGCCTGTCTGAGCATCACGCACTGCCTCCACAGGTTTATTCTAGGGTCATGTGAGACAGACAGGGTCACCAGAACCCTGAGTCTGGTATCTACAGTGGTCTTTTTAGTGAGCATTTTCTTAAATTATGATTCCTTTCTTCTGAAAGTCAAAAGCACAAGATAAATTTATAAAATATTTTACCAAGTCCTAAATTTCTGGTTGAGAATCATGACCCTGAAACTTAGAAAAAAAAATGCCACATCTGAGGAGGAAATAAAGAATGCTAAAGCACATTAGCATAGGTGGGCAACGCCCCCCTTTTCCAACTGTGCTGCTGCTGCTCACGTCCGGTTCTGGTCCCTTCCCTTTATTAGGTTAGGCGCTATGTTTAAAAATAAATCACCTCCAGACACAACCCGATGCTTTCTTCAAGATGGATTTCAATGTTTTTCAATGTAAGAGATTTAAAAGTGTAAGTCATCTAACTTGTGTAGGCATAAACTGTGGATTCCTTATAAACAGATCAAAAGTACCCTTACACACTTACCTGCCAAGACTAAGTGAAATTCAGGGCTGTGTATACATTCTGCAAAATCCGCTGACACCAAGGATGTCTGCCCCAGCCCAGACAGAACCGCCCCAGCAGGGGCCCGGGAGGCGAGCCCCGCAGAAGGATGCACGGGGCTGGCTGCAGGCTCTGGAGCGAGCCTCTGAATTAACAGAGCAGATGTGCCACATCTGCCAGACGTCTACGACCTAAACCACCACCTTTCACTTCACCTGAAAGAAGCAGTTTTTACAAAAGTGGCTTAAGATGCTCAGGTACATGAAACAGACACAAGCACACACTCCCTCTCAGATGTAAATGAGGACCAACTTCACATTTCACTGTCAACTTAAACTATACTGTAAACTCTCATGTATTTTTTTTCATTTTGTTTTTTTCTTTTATACAAAAACAAACAAACAAACAAAAAAACAAAAACCCCAAGCCAAGACAAAACCTCTGATGGTTTCAGTTCCATGGCAGTAAGTAAAAAGATAAAACTCCAGGTCTACACATACAACCAATTATGAAACTGGTTTTAAATGAAGGAAACATATGCAAAAAAATCTTTGTGTATTTGATAAAGTCAACTTAATATAACAAAAACAAATTGAAATAGCTTATTAAAAGTGTTCTTATATAAAAATGGCCTTGTGATGTACAGTAAAATGTGATAAAAATTATCATCCTCTGTTCCTCCCCCACCCCCAGTACCTAAAAAGGCTACTGTTCCACAAAACTCTTTATGCTTCTATAAAAGAAATGGAATTGCTGTGATTAAAGATTTTCTAGATCGTATGCTTGGCGGATGTTGAGGGTGTCTCGGAGCATCAGATCCCGGAGGCGCCAGAGGGCGTCCGCCATGGTGGTGTGGGCCCCTTTGCTCTTCAGCCAGTGGGAGGGCAGGCGGCTCTCCTGCTCCTTTGACAAATGGACATCGCGTCTTCGAGCTGAAAGTCACAGTGCAGACAGAGACGTAAGTAGGAATTTTAAGGTAAATTTTCCTCAGTCCTGAGGTCTGATATTTATAAACACATTTCTTACTTATTAAATACAGTTTAACTCTGCAGACTATTTCCAAGCAAATGTTTTACATCATTTTATTAGGCATCTTGGTTTCTGAGAAACCACTTCACTTAGGTAGGAGACTACCTAGCTGAGGATGCTGAATTGTTTTATGCTTTGTATTTCAGAAATTAGATAATTTATAGTAATGACTTTACAGAAGTGCTGCGCAACGTAACAAAATCCTCTTTTAGAAAGGAAACTCAAAAGCATGGACACCTAAAAGATCTGATCGCTAATATTTTCTGGTAGGCACTTCTTACATTTAGTTGCTTCAATGTTAACAAAAATTCCTAAAAGGTAAATGCGAAGAAAGGGAAAACATACCTACTACTTTTGTAAGAAATCAAATGATCAAATTTGGTTTAGAAATGAAGAATGACTTAGGAACTTCCAATTTTCTTTCCAAACTAGGTTAGTTTACTGCATACCTTAAGTCTGCTGAACTAAATGAACTGACTTCACAGATTAATAAACATCCAATATCCTTGTCTTCTTTAAAAACTGAGGTGACATAATTTTAATTTATCCAAATGCATCTATGCCAAAGCCCAAATGCCTGAAAAATTTCAGAATATACTTAAAATGCAGTGAAATGCTTCTAACAAAACCAAGCTTTGAAATCCAGCAAAAAACTTCCAGTGTATGATGTCCATACACAGAGCAGCTCCAAACCCTTCTATGAAATGTACGCTTTCTTTTACTTGTGTAAGAAAGAGGGATATTTATTGTACCACGTAACCTGCCAAGAGCAGCGAGAGGGTTTTGGCGAAGCGTGGGTTTCTCCCCTCACCTGCCAGGGTCTGGTCCCACTTGCTGATGCTGCTGGACTCTGCGCTGAGCCCCTCGATGTATTTGAGGTACGCCTCTGAGTGGAGGAGCCGCTGGGTCTTCGGTGGGGGAGCCACGAACATGGGTGTTGAAGGCTGCTGTATGACAGGGGCAGCCGGGTGCGGGCCAGGATACGGAGGTGGGGCCTGCTGCCCTGGAGGCCCCAGAACTCCTACCTGAGGAAGCACGGAGCCCACAGTGAGGGAAAAAAACACTCAGCACACGCTTGGAGAGAGACTGACTTGCACTCTGTCGAGCCCGAGAGAATCCGGCTGGGAGGCTCACCTGTTGTCCGTATGGGCTTGCACCTGGCGCTGGGGGCCCTGCCATAGGAGCCACTCCCTGGCTCATCACACCTGTAATTCGGATGCAAGGGCACAGTTAGAGGCTCTGGACTGAGATGACAGAGAAACTACTGTCTGATGATAAATGATGCCGTTTATGATGCAAACCTATAGATCTGTCCTTTAACTTTGTGGAAAGGAGCCCTACACCCAAAAACAGGAGATAACACTCAAATAGAACATTCATATTCTCTTGTTTTCTACATAATTTAAGTACAATTACAACTTGTCAAATGCACATTAATTATTCAGGGCTTTCTAAGCCATGATTCGAGCCTTGCACAAAATTCTAGTATTTCCCTAGGTAAGCTGTAGCCAGAAGAGCTCTACTTCCAAGGCACTGTTCTTCTGACGGCACATCTCCCCAGGACGGGCACTGCAGTCGCACCCCGAGCGTGCTGTGAGCTACGACAGCCGGGGCAGGGAGGCGGACTGCACGAGGGCAGCTTGGCAAGCGCTGTGCGGGCTGGAGGCACATCCCCACTGTCTCTGCACAGGCCAGCAGCACCTCTGCATTGTCCACCTGACGGAGCAAACTTTGGGGAGGGGTCCCCCGGGGGCAGAGCAGCAAATGTAAAATAGCACCGGGAGACATAAAGGTTTCATGGCCCCACTGTATCTGTGCTATGTACCTAGTAATGATGTTGGGAACTTCCCTTGCTGACTCCTCACAAGCAATTTCTGTCTCACAGGGACTGGGGGGTAACAATGAGAAATCCTAAACCTAGTGTGAGGGGCTATTTTAATCTCAGGTCCGTCCATTTGCTATTCTCCTAAAACACAAAAATAGGCAAGGGGCTCAGTTCACTAAAAACTAACAAACTACACCCCAGCTTTGGGAGCTCTTGTTTATTAATCCTTAAATAAATTCTGCTGGCTGCACAGATGGGTCAAGAGGAGCTAAATTCATATTGTATAGTTTCTCTGGATTCAACATGGCGGTTGCTTTAGCCAGGCAGACAGGCCCATTTTCTGAGGTTCACGATTGTTAAATGCTACTTTCCAGAGAGTATTAGACATTTGTTAGAGAGAAAAGAGTAAGTAAAAACAAGCTTTCTCTTTACAGAGCAGAGTTTTGTGTTCTGATACCGAGCAGGGTCCCCGGGTCACCACAGCAGGACCCTAATGACTGTGGTGATTGAGTGGAGAGGCCGTGGGGGGACTGCTGCTGCCCCAACAACACAGTACGAACCCCTGGCCCCCCAGCTCCTGGACTCATACCCCCTTGATCCCACAACCCGAGTAGGCCTCCCTGAACGGTGTCAGTCCTTGCAGCACAACAAATTGGCCCCTCTCTGCTCCCTCCACTGGTAAACGCCATGCCAGGGGGCAGCTGGTGAGAAGGTGGCGGAGCTACCAGAGTCCTCACTGGTCCCCTCCTCACAGCCTGGCCAGCCGTGCGTGTGCAGGGACGAGGGGGGCTTCTTCCCTGCCTCCCTGACCACGGTCTGGTGTGTGGTGCTTCCTTCAAATGCAGTTTAGAATCTGAGGAAGGGAGAAAGGGAGACATCTGTGTCCCAACACCCACCAAAAGATACCTGCTCCCCGGGGGAACTGGCCTTAGGTGTGGCTCCCACTGAGTGCCACACACACCCTGGGGCAGTTCCGACCTGGTCTGACTCAGTCAGATACCCTGAGCCAAGGGGAGAGGGCACAGAATTAAGGCAACTCAACCTGCCTCACAGGCACACCCATTGTATGACTGACTCTTGCCCCAACAGCAGCTCACACACAGGCCACTGTTTCCATCAGGAGGTGACTGCTCCCGACTTCCTCCTCTGGGTACATCTGGACCAGACACTTCTGTGGAGTAGGGCCGTTCTCTAGGCACACTGACAACGAGTGTAGCTGGAGGCGCACCCTGCACACTGCTGGTACACCCCAAGCATCGTCTGGAACTCTGCATAACCCTAGGACTGGTAGATCCCCTACTGGGGTAAGCAACTCTACATCCCTATGGTTGACCATCTGGGCTGGGCCTTTAGCTGACATTCTGGATAATGGACCAAATGCTACTTCAAGTTATCTCAAGGTCACATTCCCCCCAGCTACATTATAGCTAAGGGTTTGTTCTTTCACATATGATGGCAATGAACACAGGAAGTCATGATTTTTCTGACATAATAAGCTTTGAACTTGTTGATTAATTATGAAGTAAAAGTGTAGCTATTTCCAGACTCCATTTGTATGTTTCTATATAACTTCTAGTAACTTCTGAGCTCCTACTGACAAACTAGCATCTATAGTGAGTAGGGTGGAGTACGCTGTTCTTTAAGATGTTATGTCATGCTTCTCAGGGAACTCAGACACAGAAAACGAGTTCAGTGACAACGGGATCCCTCCCTCTTTGCTCCTAGAAGGGTCGACTTGACGGATTTCTGAACAGTCCTGCATCAGTGATTTGGCCCTGCCCTGGCTGGGCTGTCTGAGGAGCGGGAGGGGGGGCAGAGATTTTGTACGGAAGACCTGTGCCGGAAGAACTGAGCCATAGGAAGAAAGGCACTCTGGGGGAAAAGCTGCTTTTAATGTGGCTCTGAACAAGCCACCGGGAACCCCGCCCACTGATGAAGCAGGTGTGCTCTTCCAGGCCATGCTTGGCTTTCTGAGCACATGTCTGATTGATAAGTGGTTTTAGAGTATGCCTCCTGCCCCTCTGTTAAGCTCGCTCTCTGCCATGCGCTCCATGCCGCTGTTAGGCAGCTGGTGCCCAGGGCACAGTGCTGAGCCACCTTCAGGGTACGGCACAGGCCCTGCTGCTGAGATCCCTGGGTGCCCAGTGAGGGAGGCCTGGCCATGAAGGGCAGCAGGCACCTCCTCGGACAACAGGCTGAGGGAGGAAAAAGAGAACAGGAAGACAAGATTAATGAGCGAGTGAGGATGAAGTTCTTACCCGGTGGTGGCATGCCCGGGAGGCCGGGTACACCTGGCGGAAGATGGTGGGGTGGAGGCCCCCCGGGGTGAAGTGGCTGCATGCTGCTCATGCTAACAAGGCCATCAACTGGGCCCTGCAAAGGTGGAAGGCCTGGCGGATAGCCACCCATCATGCCTTGAAGGACACAACAAATTTCAGACATGCATCATTAACATGCAACATGAGCTAGTGCTAACCACCCCCCACATGCACTACCAATGAATAAAGCGCCCTTAGTACTGCACGATACAATGGCAACTACTGCAATTACGGGGTTGCAATAGTGAACAAAATAAACAGTTACAAATAGGAAATCCAACATTTTGGGATGAATTTATTATTATTTGTAGTTATTTTCCCCAAGATAAATCTATTGTGCGTTTTCAGTTAAATAATAATAGAGGAGTTCCAGTAAAGCCTTCCCAAGCGGTTCAAACAGTGACCAGCCCTGCTGGAGGTGACGCTAACTGAACAGGAGAACCCCATCCCCAGCTCCGCCCACACTCACATGCCTGCTGCGGGCACACACGAGGGGAACTGGAATGGAGGGAAATGAGGCGCACAGCCCTGATCACAGAGCATGGTTCTCCAGCGTGGGGGAGGGAGGCAGGGATTGTCAGGACTTCTCCTACAGCCGCCTCTCCTTCCCTCCGGCCCCACCACTGCTGATAAGGGCGGACCATGCCCGGGCTTGGGCAGGGGGACAGCTAAGGGCCATCACGACGAATGGCGCTTCATCTTCAGTTCTCAAACCGATACAGAAAAGGTAAAACCTCAACCCTCCCGGGCCAACTGAAGCCCAGGTCACTCAGGAGGCTGCACGCGGACCTTGGGAGGAACAGCTGGAGAAACAGGCTCTGCTGACATGAGAAAATGCCAGTTGTCATCACTGTCCCCAAGCTCACAAATGTCCTCACATAAACCTTCAGTTAACAGGGAGCACCTTAAATGAGGTATAGAATTTCTGTGAACAGAGGCTTTTATTCCTTTATTTTCAAAGTCATCTTTGCAACACAGAATATTTTCTGCTGGCTAGGGGTTTCAAGAAACAAGTATTTTTGGCAAAAGGAGTAAAAGGAAGAAAATTATTTCAAAATGTCAAAGACTCACCTATTAAAAAGACCTTTAAAGCCAAACAACATTTTTTTAAGCAAGAAAAATAACTGCTGGGATTTGAAAGGATCACGATGAACAAACACAAGCCCCCGCCAAGAGGCAGGTCACCTTTGGTCACAGCTTCTCGCTCAAAGGGGGGGGTTGAGGGACTCGTGCCAAACCTCATTTTTATCAAATGCTCTTTGTAGAAGGGCTCTGGGAAATAGCAGAAAACTCCAGATGCTAGGAATTTTACTCCTTGACTTCCCCTGAAGAATGTTTGGAAAGGTATTCATTTATAAAAGGTTAGTCTTTTAAAGGTATAAAATCACTGACCAGTCTGAGACTGGTTCAGCCTGCTTCATCTGTCACATCTAAGCTGATGGAAAAACAATTACACAAACCAATAAAACAACTTTAAACAATAATACCTCAACACATGGAACAGGATGATGAGTTTTTTGAAAATGAGAGTTCAGAGGGGAAAAACTGCTTTCACAGATGTGGTCGCCTCACACATGAGGAGCTCCGCTGCTACCAAATGGCCTTTGAGCCACACCACAGGTCTAGCTTGCAGGGATGAGCAGGGGGGAAGTGAGGGATGTGAGGAGGCTTTGCTTTCAATTACAAAAGCCCATCTGAACGCAGCCTTCACAGGCTGTGGCTGAAGGAAGTGTTAAGAATTGAAAGACATGGCACTTGTCTTCATTAAACTGTACTTTGGCATTTATTATCCCAGTCACATGTGTTCAAATGAGCTTTAATGCTTGTAAGCAAAGCTGGTCTCAGAGAGCAACACGGTTAAGACTTAGGCCCTACACAACTGATAAACTCATAAAAAAATCACCCTCTTAGCTGCAAAGTTCCTGCTGCGGACTGAGGACAGGTTACTGTGGGGAACGCTTGCCCTTCACTCCCAGGGCTCAGAAGTCTGGGCGGCGTGCGCTTACTAACCTGGCAGGGCTTTCTAGAAGGGGCCCCACCCTCCTCGCCTGTCAAAGCTCTCTGATGTGATTCCCCAACAGGGAGCTAAAATGCTGCAGCTGCTGTTTTTTACAATGTTTTTAGCTGTTTAAGTTCATTTTGTTAATGTGTCCCTGGGCTTTTCAGTCAAGGGCACGGTACTACAATATCACACATTGAGCAGAACAAACAGGATGTCAATGAGGGAACTCTAACTTTCAAAGTCCCCATGTTCACGGCCTGATTTCTAAAAACCCCTGGAGCCCCATTAACCAAAATGGGCCATGGAATAGAGCAGGTGATTATGAGATTTGTTAGACGAACATCAGTTACACTGAAGTACTGAAGAGCCATGATCAAACGTGCTTTGGCGAGCGCAGCTGCTGAGCTCAGCGACAGTGCATCTGAGAACCTGCCATCACAAAAGGCTGGAGCAGCAGTGGGAACATTACCCTATGCTAGGCTTCCTGCAAAAGCAGGTACAAAAGAGCGAAAATGAAAACAGCTCCCAAGGAGCCTGCCTTCAACAACACTGTCCCGGACTCCCTATGGAGAGGTCGGAGAAATACAGGTGGCTCGTAAGGACCTCACCAGGCTCGGGGAGGTCACACAGTGACCCCCAGAGTGGTCTACGGGCTGCCCACTGGACACAGGGCAGACAAGGATATTCAATTCAGGAAGAGCCAAATTTGCTGTGGCTACCAGAACCAGAGACAACACACACAAGCAAACCACATTCATCATTTTCTTTTCTTTTTTTAAAAATATGTGACTGGGATACTAACAGAAAATGCAGTTTAATGTAATTAAGTAGAAAAGCATTACAGAGTGGGCACAATGTATTGAATAAGTACTCTGTCTCCCACTTGGCAGTCATGCACACTGGGGACCAAGAAAGGATTCACAATTCATTGTCAAAAATCCTTTTAACTGGTCAGTCTTCCAAGGCCAACTGAACACCGGGAGGAGACGGGAAGTCAACACCACCTACAGACTAGCTTTGCGCTTCTTCCTGGGAGTCCCTTGGAACAGAACTCAGGGTCTGTGCGTAGTTTCGGCTGTAGTGCTCCAGCAAGAGCAGCCTGTGGAGGGCAGCATCGCCAGACCAGGCCCCCAGCCAGGGAAGGGCTACTCCCTACCAGTCCCCAGGGGGCGAGGGGCCCAGGGCCCATTTCTGGGGCAGAGGGGAGACACTGCCCGTGTGGGAAAGGCAATATCAGGACAGCATGGATGACCTCAGACTTGGAATCTGTCATGAGAAAAGCCTAGAGACTGTGGCCTACTCCTCATAGGAGAAAAAAAAAATGAAGGAATTTCTTAAAGTGGAAAAAAATGGTCTTAGCTCCTGTTTTTACCTGCAACAGGTGTCAACTGCTGATTGAGCATCCCCATTGGTGTTGGTGGTGGCACCACCCCCATGAGAGCCCCCACAGGGGTGCCTGCTCGGGGAGAAGCACTCGGCTGCTGTTGCTGGGCCGCTCTCTCTCTCTCCTGCTGCTCAGCAACTTTAGCTGCCCGCTCTGTAAAGGCATTTCAGATTTTCAATTCTGTTTTTAACCCAGGAATTCAAAATACCATCCATTGCATTCAACAGGACTAGTAAAAACACAGGCAACAGTTCTGTCTCAATGGAAGGAACAGTAGAGGACTAGTCCCCACACAGGAGGAGTCGGGCCGACTTCACTGGTAACCTAGAGTCCCGCTTTCCTATCCCATCTTGGGAACTGGTCTGCAAAGATTTCAAGAATGTTAAGACTGCGACACACATTCAGAAAGCACAGGTTTCATTTAAACACGTCACCAGCATAACCAGCGTGGTTAATCTCACACGGCACCCTGAAGATGAGAAGCGCTACCATTATTCTGGTATTAATAGCATTATAAATTATTTAAAATTTCAACATGAAGCAATTCCATGGCCCATTATAATTTTTGGCACAATTGTTACTTACTCTATTTTTCTGATTCCTTGCACCCAATTTTACTAAGATTTGAGGATTCTTGTCATTAGTGTCTTGGGGTTTAGCAGCTGAAGAAAATTAACTCTGTAAGGGAAAAGTAGCTCACTGCCTCCTACACAAGGTTTAGGGAAAACAAATGCTAATTTCTACATTCTAGTGAAGCAGAGAGGTCAAGTTTAATAAACCCCAAGGGAAAAAATGCATGCTACTCCAGGTCACAGTCATCAGAAGCGGGAGCTGTATAAACACACAGGAAGCAATGGACAGTACTCATAGGACCCGGTTTCCTGAAGCTGATCAAGTCAATACTGACCATAAATCATCCTAATCAGCAAAAGTTCCAGAATTCACTCTTATTTCAACCAGACTGCAAGACGACCATCTGCTTGTGCCGGTTCTGGGCTGAGGAACACACCTTGCTGTGCCCCGCACCCTTTGGAGCTGCTCTGTCTGCTCCCTCCAGAGCCACTAGCCCCAATGATCACATTCCTGGCCTTTTTGGGAGCTGGCAGGCTGGACCCTAATTAGATAGAGGACTCTAGAGATGTCTATTCCCCAAGCTCCCACAATACAGGACTCCTCTGGCTTCCCCACTCACGAACAGGAGACCCTCTCACTCTCCACACAGGCAGACTGAGGATGGGAACAGGCAGTGACTTGTCTAAGGACACAGAGAGAACCAGCAACCTGCCGCCCTCTCTCCTGGTATCACTCGCCAACGCCACACATTAGCCCTCCAAAATGGAATCCCACAGGCTGTCCCTGGCTGCTGTGAGGAGCGGAACACTGCTCGAGGTCGCGTGGCTTCAGAGAGAATCCGAAGCGGCAGCTCCAGGCCTCCTGTGGCGGAAGAGTGAGAGCCAAGTGGGTCACAGCTTCCAAGGCTGAGACGGTGTCCCCACAGACCTGTCGCCACTCCCTGGCACTGCCCCAGCTTACAGATCCTCTGCGCAATGAGCATGAGGGACAAAGGCCAGCCGGATGACCTGTCTCCTTGAGCTAGCAGTAACAACACTGACGGCCTAGACCCCCACATTCAATCCTAGTACTTTCATTACACAAATGACAGTAAAATGGGAGAGCGAATAATGAAGTTGAAAAAAGGAAAATTCAGGCCTGTGGATTGAGTATTGGACTGGCTACCTGCTGGCTCTTTCTGGGAGAAGCCCAACTGGGCTGTCTTGGAAAAGAGGATAAGTAAAGTCAGCCAAACTCCAGAATCTGGCTTCTGAATTCATTGGGTGTGAACATCAAAAGTTCAGATTTTGTGTCTCAGGCAGATACTGCTGAGACATATAATTCACTGTCACTAGGCTCTTAATGAATTTCAGACTCCCCTCTGAATCAGGGAGAATTTCCCAGAAGCCATCATTTCTCCCTGTCTGCAGCCCTGCTCTAGAGTGTTTACTTTGACATGATTTCTCTCTGGACACACTCCTCTCTCTCGGTCCCACTTTCCGTGACCAGCCATACAAGGTTGGCTTCATCTGCTCTGGACCCGGCTTTACTCCCGTGGGCTACATTCCCAGCACTCCTCCAGCAGAGTGATGTATCCAGTTTGAACGTCACTGAGATCAGAAGTATCAAAGCTCTCCCAAGTCCTAGGTTCTCATGGAAATGGAAGTGACTAGGGTTTCTCAAAGAATGTTCTGCAAAATATTAGTTCTTCAGGATATTAACAGGTATTACAGGAATACTGGGTCAAGTTTCTGAAAATGCCAGGTGAGAAAAATAGGTTCTTTACTGTAGGCCTTAAGGACTTTTCTATGGGAATATGCACTGCGGGTTCCCAAGAGAGAAAGTGTTTGGAGCACTTTTCAAACTGGTTTTGCCACACATTTTCCGGCTGAGCACTTGTAGGATTACAGCTGTGCAGAAGATCTTTGGGGAATGCTGTGATAATTCTGTGATAACCAATTGTAATAAATAAAAGGAGTAGAGCTTTTTTTTTTTAAGAGTTTCTTTGGCAACTCCATAAACTTTAATAAAGGAGGCAGCCTTAACAATTCATTTTTTTATGTTTGCTGGAAAATGATGGATTTGGGCCTGCCCAAGAAGAGTAATGGTGACCACTGTGGTCAACCACTGAGGTGGCTCTGAACTGAAGCTCGATGGCTCAAAATGAAACATGAAATACAATTCCAAATGGAAAAAATACAGCTCCAAGGGCAAAAGTCCTGCCTTATCAAATGTCTACTACTATCTCTTTATTAAAGACTGATATTAAAAAACAAAACTCTCTCAAGTATTTGTGGCTAAGAATCACCAAATCCTTGAATGATATAGCTCAAAGCCCAAAATGGTTTAATTATAGAGTATAAGGAAAATGAGGGCAGTTGAGATTTATCAAAGAGTGTCTTATTAAAAGTAGCTATGAATGCAGACACAGCATAGGCCAGGACTGGCCTAGGAAACCAAGCGCTTAGCCAAATCTCGGCCTGGAGTTTAAACATACAGCTTATCATGAGCCATAACAGGAGATCACTGATTGTGTAAGCCCCCTTTCAGATGAATTCTATCTCAAACTGTATTTAACATCCTTGTATCCCAGCTCAACACATGTATGCTTATAGGACTCAATGAAAGAAGAAAATCGTGCAATTTTTAATAGCAAAATATTTGATTAATTCTGAGGGGAAAAAGCACACCAGGATCGGAGGCCAAGTCAGGGGCAGTTGCATTTAAATTCTGGGTGGGAGGCACTTTAGTCCCCAACACGAAGTTCATGTGCATGTGGCAAGGACAAGAGAGTCACCCTGTCTATGCACGTGCAGTCCTGAAACACCCCTTGGCTTAGAAAGCAGAGACGGTTGTGCTAGTCTCTATTTACCTTCATATTCTGCTTTCTTGGCCGTCTCCAGGTTTCTCCATTCTGTCCCCTCTCGAGGTCGCGTGGCTTCAGAGAGAATCCGAAGCGGCAGCTCCAGGCCTCCTGTGGCGGAAGAGTGAGAGCCAAGTGGGTCACAGCTTCCAAGGCTGAGACGGTGTCCCCACAGACCTGTCGCCACTCCCTGGCACTGCCCCAGCTTACAGATCCTCTGCGCAATGAGCATGAGGGACAAAGGCCAGCCGGATGACCTGTCTCCTTGAGCTAGCAGTAACAACACTGACGGCCTAGACCCCCACATTCAATCCTAGTACTTTCATTACACAAATGACAGTAAAATGGGAGAGCGAATAATGAAGTTGAAAAAAGGAAAATTCAGGCCTGTGGATTGAGTATTGGACTGGCTACCTGCTGGCTCTTTCTGGGAGAAGCCCAACTGGGCTGTCTTGGAAAAGAGGATAAGTAAAGTCAGCCAAACTCCAGAATCTGGCTTCTGAATTCATTGGGTGTGAACATCAAAAGTTCAGATTTTGTGTCTCAGGCAGATACTGCTGAGACATATAATTCACTGTCACTAGGCTCTTAATGAATTTCAGACTCCCCTCTGAATCAGGGAGAATTTCCCAGAAGCCATCATTTCTCCCTGTCTGCAGCCCTGCTCTAGAGTGTTTACTTTGACATGATTTCTCTCTGGACACACTCCTCTCTCTCGGTCCCACTTTCCGTGACCAGCCATACAAGGTTGGCTTCATCTGCTCTGGACCCGGCTTTACTCCCGTGGGCTACATTCCCAGCACTCCTCCAGCAGAGTGATGTATCCAGTTTGAACGTCACTGAGATCAGAAGTATCAAAGCTCTCCCAAGTCCTAGGTTCTCATGGAAATGGAAGTGACTAGGGTTTCTCAAAGAATGTTCTGCAAAATATTAGTTCTTCAGGATATTAACAGGTATTACAGGAATACTTGGTCAAGTTTCTGAAAATGCCAGGTGAGAAAAATAGGTTCTTTACTGTAGGCCTTAAGGACTTTTCTATGGGAATATGCACTGCGGGTTCCCAAGAGAGAAAGTGTTTGGAGCACTTTTCAAACTGGTTTTGCCACACATTTTCCGGCTGAGCACTTGTAGGATTACAGCTGTGCAGAAGATCTTTGGGGAATGCTGTGATAATTCTGTGATAACCAATTGTAATAAATAAAAGGAGTAGAGCTTTTTTTTTTTAAGAGTTTCTTTGGCAACTCCATAAACTTTAATAAAGGAGGCAGCCTTAACAATTCATTTTTTTATGTTTGCTGGAAAATGATGGATTTGGGCCTGCCCAAGAAGAGTAATGGTGACCACTGTGGTCAACCACTGAGGTGGCTCTGAACTGAAGCTCGATGGCTCAAAATGAAACATGAAATACAATTCCAAATGGAAAAAATACAGCTCCAAGGGCAAAAGTCCTGCCTTATCAAATGTCTACTACTATCTCTTTATTAAAGACTGATATTAAAAAACAAAAGTCTCTCAAGTATTTGTGGCTAAGAACCACCAAATCCTTGAATGATATAGCTCAAAGCCCAAAATGGTTTAATTATAGAGTATAAGGAAAATGAGGGCAGTTGAGATTTATCAAAGAGTGTCTTATTAAAAGTAGCTATGAATGCAGACACAGCATAGGCCAGGACTGGCCTAGGAAACCAAGCGCTTAGCCAAATCTCGGCCTGGAGTTTAAACATACAGCTTATCATGAGCCATAACAGGAGATCACTGATTGTGTAAGCCCCCTTTCAGATGAATTCTATCTCAAACTGTATTTAACATCCTTGTATCCCAGCTCAACACATGTATGCTTATAGGACTCAATGAAAGAAGAAAATCGTGCAATTTTTAATAGCAAAATATTTGATTAATTCTGAGGGGAAAAAGCACACCAGGATCGGAGGCCAAGTCAGGGGCAGTTGCATTTAAATTCTGGGTGGGAGGCACTTTAGTCCCCAACACGAAGTTCATGTGCATGTGGCAAGGACAAGAGAGTCACCCTGTCTATGCACGTGCAGTCCTGAAACACCCCTTGGCTTAGAAAGCAGAGACGGTTGTGCTAGTCTCTATTTACCTTCATATTCTGCTTTCTTGGCCGTCTCCAGGTTTCTCCATTCTGTCCCCACCAGTCGGCTGAGCTCCCCAAAAGAGTAGTCTGGGTGCTGGGCCTTAATCACAGCTCTCATCTCACTGCTGAACAGGATGTAGCCACTCATGTTGATTTTCCGTTTGGAGCCTTCCTTCTTCGCACTGCCTTTGACAGACTTTGGGGTAGACTGTAAGACAGAAAGCTCTTATGGTGCAACGGAACACTGCATTTGGTTAACTGCTCCAAAGTTTTAGAAGCCAGGAATACGTGATTCCACAGTTACTGTTTTACAGTCACATTCCGTGTATAGTTGGCCATTTTCTTGGTCAAAACACAGTTCTTCCTTGCCTCCTAGCATATAAGAAATAAATTAAAAGTTTCACTGAATTCCATGACTGTAATCTGTAATGGGGACCTCACATTTAGCTCTTGAGAAAAAAATAGGGATTCCCAATGGGGTCACCACAACCAAAAGATGAGGTCCTAAAGAAGAGACTAAAATGACATGGGCAGCAAAAGCCGGAGTATCAGGGGGCTGCCATTCCTCATTGCTCGCCTTCAACAAAGGCAAGGAAGACCGTTTAACTAAATCTGCCGTTGAGAACAGCTATCTGTGAAATTAAAAAAAAAAGATATTAAATTTTAAATTATCAGTGGCACTGAGAACGAAGAAAAAATCTGTTTCTTCCTGCAGAATTCTAGGCTGAAGCTCACAGACGTAGGGGCTGAATGTGGTCTGAGTCTGCTGCAAACCAAAGCTGGCAATACAATGAATCACAGGAACCTGCTGCCTTCACCTGAGGGGGCGTGTAGGGCATGAGGTCCAGCTCGCTGGCCAGAGGGGTCTGCAGTTGAGGGAGAGATGGAGGCTCGAGGACCTCACTGTCCTCTTCTCCCATCTCTTCCAGATCATCATCTCCACCTTCTAACTCAGCAAATTTAGCTTCCAGCAACTGGATCTTCTTTTCCAGCAAAGGTGAGGGCTCCTTCTGAGGAACAATTGGTTTTCTAAAAGAAATGACATAAAATGAATAAAATAAAATTAGTGAACACTACTCTAGTATTGGTCAGGAAGCAGTGTTGTGCCTTGATAGCTACAGAAATTGCTTCCTGCAATCTGCAAAGTATACTCTTCAGTCAGAAAGGCAAATAATTTAAATGAGTATTTATAAACTTATGGATGCTTTTTAAAGGATTCTGAATATTCACAAAAGTACCTGGTTCAAAGTTGGGATCTAGTTGCCTATATTTAGTGAAAACAATTTCCATCATCTGTGGAACTGTATGATCTCTTAACAGACAGGCTATGAATTAGAACTCAGGATTTCTGCCCCCATGTTACAATTGCTAGAGTCTATGGTAAGGACACTATTACAGCAGTCACCACATCTCAACAAATTATACAGATTTTGCTTTCATCTTTAACTGAACTAATTTTTTTCTATTTGAAATATATACTGCTCCAGTTTAAGACCTAATTAAAAAAACCCAAACACTCTGGATTACATTATTTTGATATTTTTCTATTAAGAGCTGAAGTGCTCTTTTCCCTTAGGTTTTCGAGTTTTACCTGAAGTAATAAATTTCATCATCTACCACTTTAGCAGACAGTGAAAACCTCTTCAGTCCCTTGAATTTCTTCATCTGCTTGTCACTCTCATTGTAGCGGCTCTCACAAAGCAGAATGTCATTTTCTGGTATTTCAGTTGGTCTGCAGGAGAGGAAGTCCTTGAATGACAACACAGCACACTTTCCTGAAAGAGCAAATTGGAGAGACATTAAAGGAGTAAATTGTGGTCATAGCTAACAATTATTTTGAATTTTTATTATGTTTGAATTGATGTAGTCACATGACTCAAAAGTCAGAAGATTTAAAGGGAATACACAAGCATAAGGATAGACATGTAGATGAAAGGAATAGAATTAAAAGTCTAGAAATAAACCCATACAATTGGATTTTTACAGGCAAGTGATTTTTGACAAGGGTGCCAAGACAACTTTAGAGGGAAAGAACACCTCTTCATAGATAGTGCTGAGACAACTGGATTTCCACATGCAAAAGAACTGAGATGGATCCCTGCCTCATGCCATATGCAAAAATTAATTCAAAATGGATCAAAACCCTACGATGTAAGACCTACAATTGTAAGAACTCTTAGAAGAAAACACAGATGTAAATCTTTGTGACCTCTCATTAGATAATGGTTTCACAGATGTGACATCAAAGTCACAATCAATGAAAATAAAGATGAACTGAACTCATCAGAATTAAAACTTGTGCTTCAAAGGACACTATCAAGAAAGTGAAAAGACAACCCACTGAACACAAGAAAATATTGGCAAATCATATCTCTGATGAGAGTCTAGTATCCAGATTTATATAAAGAGATCTACAACTCAACAATAACCAGACAAATAACCCAATTAAAAAACGGGCAACAGATCTGAATAGACATTTCTCCAAAAAAGATATGCAAATGGTCAACAAGCACATGAAAAGATTTTCAACATCACTAATCATTAGAGAAATGCAAATGAAAACTATAAGATACCACTTCACACCCATTAGGATGGCAATTCCATTGAAAAAATAAATAAAAGGAAAACTACAAGTTTGGCAAGGATTTAAGGGTGTGGAGAAACTGGAGCCCTTGTATGCGGCTAGTGGAATGTAAAATGGCACAGCTTCTGTGGAAGAGAGCTTGGCAGTTTCTCAAAAGTTAAACAGAGTTGCTCTATTATGCAGCAATTCAACTTTGAGATAAATATCCACAAGAACTGAAAGCAGGGACTTGAATAGATACTCGTATATCAATTGTCCTTTGTAGCATTATTCACAAGAGCCAAAAGGCACAAACCACCCAAATACCCATCAACAGATGATGGAATAAACAAAACGTTATATACACATACATGGAATCTTATCCAGTTTTAAAAAGAAATAAAATTCTGATACATGCTACACTACAGATGAACTTTGAGAACCTTGAATATGCTAAGTGAAATAAGCCAGACACAAAAGGACAAATATTGCATGACTCCTCTTATACGAAGAACCTAGAATAAGGCAGAATTCATAGCTACAAGTAGATCAGGTCTTACCAGGGGCTGGGAGAGAGGAAAATGGGTAGCTGTTGCTTAATAGGTACAGAGTTTCTACTTGGGACGATGCAAAGTTTTAGAAATGGATAGTGGTAATGGTTGCACAATTTCATTAATTGACTTAATGTCACTGAACCGTACACTAAAAATGGCTAATAGGCTGCATTTTGTTACGTCTATTTTACCACAATAAAAAACTTACAAATGGTAGCATATCACTTATACTGTCTTGTACATAAGTTTTGTTCAAAATAATGTATCTTGAGGATCATTGCTGGTATTAATACACTGTATTTTTTTTTTCATTAAGGTATCACTGATCCACACTCTTATGAAGGTTTCACAAGAAAAACAATGTGGTTACTACATTCACCCTTATTATTGAGTACCCCCCCATTGGACCCCATTGTGGTCACTGTTCATCAGTGTAGTAAGATGCCACAGAGTCCCTACTTGTCTTCTCTGTGCTACACTGTTTTCCCCATGACCCCACACACACCATGTGCACTAATCACGATACCCCACAATCACCTTCTCCCTCCCTCCCCACTCACCCTCCCCCATCCCTCTCCTTTGGTAACCGCTAGTCCCTTCTTGGATGGAGTCTCTGAGTCTGCTGCTATTTGTTTCCTTCAGCTTTGCTTCACTGTTATACTCTACAAATGGCGGAAATCATTTGGTACTTGTCTTATTTCACTGAGCATAATACCCTCTAGCTCCATTCATGTTGTTGCAAATGGTAGGATTTCTTTCTTTTTTATGCCTGAGTAGTATTCCATTGTGTATATGTACCACATCTTTATCCATTCATTTACTGATGGACACTTAGGTTGTTTCCATATCTTGGCTATTGTAAATAGTGCTGCAATAAACATAGGGGTGCATGTGTCTTTTTGAATCTGTTTTCTTTGGGTAAATTCCTAGGAGTGGAATTCCTGGGTCAAATGGTATTTCTATTTTTAGTTTTTTGAGGAACATCCATATTGCTTTCCACAATGGTTGAATTAGTTCACATTTCCACCAGCAGAATACACTGTATTTACTGAAATTAGTTCTCTATTGATGGGTATTTGGGCTGTTTCCAAATTTCTGCTCTCCCACTGAAGCAAAACAATGCTGACATAAATAATTTAAGACATATATCAATTTGCACATGGGTGAATACATCTGAGGTATAAATTTCTAGAAGTATAAAAGCTGGGAAAAGGAGTATGTGCACTTTAATTTTCACAGGCATTATCAAATTACCTTCCACAGGGGTTGTGCTAATTCATACACCCACTACCCAGTGGATGAATGCCACTTCCCTATGTTCATGTCAGCTAGTAACAAATATCTGAAGCTTTGACAACTTTATAGGTAATTTTGAAAAAGGAGCATCTGGGTAGTTTTAATTTCCATTTCTTCTACAGCTGAGGTTGGGCATATTTTCAATTAAGAACCAATGGCAACTTCTGTCCTCTCTTTTGCCCATTTTTCTGATGGATGTTTATCTTTTCTTATTGCTTCATAGGAGCTCTTCATATATGAGGGAAAATTAGTGTTTCTCTATGATACACAGAACAAATGTTTTCCCAGAGTTGACATTTATCTTTGCTTCTGCCAGTTTTGATTATGCAAACATTTTCAATTTTTACATAAATGAATTTATCAATCTTTTTAATATGGGTTCTGGTTTTTCTGTCATTATACTTTCTTTCCTATCATTTCTTTTGGTATCTTTCCTACTTAATTTTATGTTCATTTAAACTTGTAATTCATCTGGGAGTTTATTCTGAGGTTGATGTGAGGGATGGACACAATTTTATTTTTCCAAAATGGCTATCCAGTTTCCAAATACACTTAGAAAAACATCCATCTTTTCCCACTTATTTGGGATGCCACCTTTATCATAATTAAATCACATTTGGGTCTACTGTTAAACTTTCTTTTCCATTCAAATCTGTTTACACATATATCATGTAAGTATTTCTAATGATTATTGTGTTAATATGTTTTAATATCTGGTAAGGATAGGGACCCCCTGCCCCACCCCACCCCGCCCCCGCCGCCCTTGACTATTTTTTTAGACTCTTCCTGATTTTATTTTGTTTCTTTCTGACATGACTTAAAAAATCAGCCTGCCTTCCTGCTATGAGCTTCTGGTCCTAGACAGAGTGCAGGGGTTCTTGTTCTCAGGGAATTATGGCTGTCTGTTTCTGGGTGGCTTCCTGAAGGACTATGGCAAAGGGGCCTCCCTCTATTTTGCCTAACTTGGAATTCTCTGAGGGCAGAGAAGTGGCTATGGCACTTTTGTTGAAGACATTTAAAAAGGCAAATGAGCCAATTGCTGCTGCCTGGGGTGAAGGTATCAGTAGGCACAAACAGCAAACTCACAGAAGAGCCTGGAAGAAAACCTGGGCAGCGGGATGCTTTGGGGAATACGAGTTTTGAAAAGCTTCCAGACATTCCTGGGAATCTAGACAGCCATGCACATGCTATGCGCAGGACACATGCTCAGGAAGACCAGGCCCCGGGTCTCCCGTTTGGCTGACTGTCAGCTCTGCCCGAGCAGGAAGCGAAGGCAAGGGCAGAGCTGTCGCCTCCCGATGAGCGTGGAAGGTGTGCTCCAACACGGACAGTCTCTAGAGGCAGCGATGGGGAATTTTTGTTTGGTAAGATCCAAGCATTTAAGAAAATCTGTAAAATCACTAAGCTAACAGAAAAGAGACTTCAGTGACCATGTGCACTAAAGAACACACACAAAAAAAAACTTTAGAAAAGTCCCCAAACAAGCAACTATAAACCACAATAATCAGGAACAACAAAGCTCAAGGAGGAGGAAAAATATGCTTTTGAGGGTTATCACACTGTAATAATCCCAAATGCCCAGTTTTCAATAGAAGTTATGAGGTATACAAGGAAACAAGAAGGTGTGGCCCATTCACAGGATAAAAAGAAATGGACAGAGGAACTCCCCAGTGAAGCCCAGACACTGGGCCTACTAGACAGGTATTTTAAATCAACTGTCTTAAATATGCTCAAAGAGCTAGAGGAAACCAGAATGATGTCTCACCAAACAGACGCTATCAATAAAGAGACAGAAACTGTAAACACTAAGTGGAAATGCTGGAGCTAAAAAGTATAACTGAAATGAAAAAATGTGTTAGGGGGGTTCACCAGAAAACTTGAGCAAGCAGAAAGACCAGATCTTGAAACCAGGTCAACTAAAATGATCAGTGTGAGGAACAGAAAGAAAAACAAAATGAAAAGAAATGAGCAGAGTCCAAGACCTGTGACACACCACTGAGCATGCCAATATAGGCGTGACAGGAGTCCTGGGAGTAGAAGAGAGAGAGGGGCAGAAAGAATACGTGAAGTGGTGGCCCAAAACCCTCCAAATTTGATGAAAGACATGTAAGAAAAACTGTCAATGGAGAGTTTTGTACTCAGCAGAAGTACCCTTTAAAAATGAAAGTGGAATCAGGACATTTCCAGATAAACAAAAGTCAAGGGAGTCAGTTGTGAGCAGAACTGCCATACAATAAATGCTACGTGGAGTCCTTCAGGCTGAAATGAAAGGACACTAGATAGTAACTTGAATTACCATTATAGTAATGGTAACTACATAGGTAAATAAAAGAGCCAGTATTATGTTTTTAGTTTGTAACTCCTCTATCTTTCTCCTATGAGACATTAGAGACAAATGCACAAAGCAATAATTATAAATCTATGTTAATGGCCAGGCAAAGTACGGATGTAATTCCTGACAAGAATAGAAAAGGGAGGAATGGAGCTAGAGGAGCAGAGCTTCTGTATACTGTTGAAGCTAAGTCAGTATTTCAAACTAGGTTGTCATGAATTTCAAGTGTAATCCTCAGTGTAACTACTAAGAAAATAGCTAAACAATTTATTTGATCTGGCTGCCCTAACCAAAGGAGACTTCAGTCCCACCTTTGTTATGCCTCAAGTCTCCTGGCTGGCTTTACTCTAGGGGGTAAGGGTCTAGGGCACTGCTTTAGTCTGGATCACAAGGTAAAAGGAAGTCACTCTCTGCTGCAGAAACTCAAGGAGGATTTAATAATGTCACTAGCCTTTGCTTCCTCTCCCCAGGGTGTGAAGAGGAAAATGCACCAAACTAGTGGCTATTCAGATTATTTTCACCATATCTAATTCTGAAAAAATTCAAAGTATCAAAAACAATCAAGGTGAACATTAAAGCAATCAAAATTTACCTGTAAAATAACTTTTGATCTGCAAATTTCCTTTTGGTTTTTAAGCATGATGGCTTCTTTACAACCAACCACATGCAATCAATCGATATAAAGCTTGTGCCTAGTAACCTTTTGGAAAACCATTCCAGAAGATGTAAAGAGTAGCTGGCGTAAGTAAACCGTAGAGTTAACTCAGGGCCAGAAGGATATAGTAGCTGGAAACAATGACAGCATATGATGCATATGACTAGATCTGAGAAGCAGCCAGCCATTGTGGACACTTAGTAGGATGAGGAACAGAGACCAAATGCCAGTCCGTGATGCTTCTGGACGGGCGAAATAACACCACTACAGGGTTAAGAATCCCACAGACACTGTGAAGGACTTTCACCTGCTCTACCTGTTTCCTGACTTGTTCTTACTGTGCATTCTTGTACACTGCAGCCACGGCGATGCCTTTAGTCCCTATGCTGGCTCACGTCGCCTCTCTGCTCCAAGCCCAGTCTCAGCACTGTCTGCACGATCCACCATGGAGAGGTGTCCAGCCGCTTCAGAGGGCTCCTTCCTTACCACACCGCCCTGCCCTGCCCAGCCACCCAGCTTTCTTATTGTCTCAAACATGCCCAGATACTCTGCCTTAAGGTCTGCCCAGGCATAAAATAAATAAAAACTTAGACATTCAAATGGTTTTCTTCCTTGCTTCGTTCAGGGCTCTAGTCACATGTCACCGTTCGCAGTGGCTCTTGCTGAACACATTACCTAAAACTGGGCCTCCTCCATATTACCCTCCATCCTTTGCTTCATTCTCATCTGTAGCCCCAATTACTATCTTATGTTGCACATATGTAGCTTTGATGTATTACTGACTCCTCAGCTCTGCACTGTTGTCAATCTCTGAGAGCAGAGCCTCTGGCTTGCTTACTGCTGTATGCTTGGCATGGAGAACAGGGCCTAGTACAGTCAGTCAGTCACGTATGGAATGTGATTCAATGAAAAGGTGTGGATACCTACCCAGAATACATGTCATGGGGCAGGTTTCTTCCAGATTACTCAGAAACACTTCTTTTTTGTAGAACATTTTTGTGGGCTCATGTTCCGTCTCTTCTGGGTGAATGAAGATGGGGCCATAAAAATATGCGGCTCCATCTCGGACCCATACTTTTTCAATTCTTGGGGGAAAAAAATGGAGAAATTCCATTAAAATAGAATTCAGATGGGTTTCATTCTTGAAGGATTAATCTAACAAAAATCACATTAACCAAAAACTTTTTAGAGGCATTTCATTGGCTGTTTTGATAACAGGACAATCTCCTTGATTTTTCTCCCCTTAAATACACGAGAAGAAACTTGGAAAAAGAAAAATGAACATTTGGCTAAATGAGGGAAAATTTTAAAAAAATCATATAACAAAACACACAGCTTAATAGTTTTAGCTGACTCCCCAGTTTTCTTCCTGAGATGCCCAACATGAAAACAAAACACGTGCCATTGGACTTGTGGGCTGAATAAACACACAGACCATTGCTATTTGGGGTCAGACATATGAGTGGCAGATATTCCTTAAATGGTTCATGACGTTTCTGAAGTTCAAGATCTAAAACCCCTTGACCCCTTACGAAGCTGATGAAAGCCAGATACCACCTACCTAGAGAAAAAAAAAAAACATCTGGCTGCTAATGGGCCAGGTGTACCATTCCTCACAACCAGCCCATAAAGTTAGTATTATTATTGTCCTCACAGTCTCATGGTTCATAACATGAAGCGGCATCTTCATCTCAGCTAGTGGGGACTCCACCTTTCCAACTCCCCAGGCTGACACACACAGGGACCGCCCTCGACTCCTTTCTCTCTTGGATCCCACATTCCATTTATCAGAAATCCTATTAACTCCATCTTTCAAAACAGGATTTGACTACTGGCCTGAGACACTAGCTCTTGCCTGCATTACTGTAAGTAATAGCCTCCAAACCCATCTCCTTGCTTCCACCTTTGACCTTTTACCGTCTATTCTCAACAGCCGGTAGGCAGAGCAATCCTGCTAAGAGCTGATGTTACTTCCGTGCTTAAAGGAACCCAGTGGCACTCCATGTAATTCAGTAAAGCCCAAGTCCCTGAAGTGGTCTCTAAGGCCCACCGGAGATCTGCTGACTCACTCATGCACTGCTCACTCTTGACTTAAACAGGCTAGGCAGGCTTCTCTCTTTGATCTTTATACTGGCTGTTCTCGCTTCCTGGATACTCAAATCACTCATTCCCTCCGCTTCTTCAAGTGGTGGCTCAAATGTCCACTCTTGGGGAGGCCTATACATGCCACCCTATTTAAAGTTTGGCACCTCCCCACTGTGACCATGGCCCTTTTGATTCCCCACACTCTGCTCTATTTTTTCCATGTGTCATGATCTAATATACTGTACACTTTACTTAGTCACGATGTTTATTGTTTATCTTCCCAGTGGAACAAAGATTTATGGGGCTAGGCATATTTGTCTGCTTTATTCACTAATGTATCCTCAGAACCTGACAAATAGTAGGTGTGTAATAAATGATTACTGAATGGTGAACAAATACGATGAGGAAACTGAAGCTCAGAAAAGTAAAGTATTTTTGCCCAAGGATATGAAACTAGGGCCGGGACCGAAACCAAGTCTTCTGGAACCAACTACTGCTCTTAGCCACTCTCCTCTACTGCCCAGCCCCGTGCTTCACTCTTTTACTGCCTCAGCATGCCTCCATTTACTCGTTGCTCAAATATCTGAGCCCTTTTGTTTTGTGCACTGTGCTTGGAGCAGGGGATACAGGTGAGAGGGTCCTACCCTCAGGGTGTTTGCAGTCTGGTAGAGAAACCTGGGAATGACAGGACATGTACGTGCTGTGAGGAGGGAGAGAGATGTGGTGCTCTGAGATTAAATGCGAGATCTCACCCCAGTCTGAAGAAACAGGAAAGCCTTCCTTAAGGAAGTGCCATTTCAAATTTAAGCTAAAGGGTTCACTATACGAAGGAGACAGCGAGATTTCTGGGCTGAGGGATCAATTAATGGTAGATGAGGAAAAAATGTGTTCATGGTGGAGTTTAAAGAAGAAAGTACGGCCAGAGGCAAAAGTGTGGTGAGAGGAAGCTACCAGGGGAGGGCCTCTGTCCTCACCCTGAAGGGTGACTGATCTCCAGGGCCTCCCATTTCAGACCCAGCCTTGTCCTTCCTACTTCAGTAACACTCACCTGCCCACTCGAGGGCGCACGAGGCCATGGGACTTGATGAAGACACAGTCGCCAACCTTCAGCCACATGTCGTTGTAGCGGAGTTGCTCAAAGTAGTGACAACCAGGTTCACCATTCGCCATGTCCACAGGGACATCTTCTTTCTCCTGTGGTAGAGGAAACTGGATGAAGAGAGGCAGCTGGCGATTAAGGAGCAGACAGAGAAGGTAAAAAGGGAAAGCAGACTTTCCTTCATATTAACTTCGAAGAAAAAATAACTGTAATGAGAAGCCTTGAATGAAGATAGAAAACCAAGATTAGGTCACTGAAATCAAACTCAGTCTTATCAAATACTGCACCTATTTTAAATTTCCAGTTAATTTTCTTAAAATAATGTTTTTTCAAGATGCTATTATCCCCTCCTCCCTCCCTCCCATTTCCCTAGCCTTTAGCAGGAAAACACTGGCGAGGACTTACCAACGCTCAGAAGCAGCCTCATTCATACATGTGGAGCAAATTCTACACAAGCTTCCTCCTCACATTTATCGAGCTCTCAATATTTCAACATTAATAATTGGTAAGATTTAAAATACTTATCATTCTGATTTATTTTAACATGGAAAAGAAGAGTCCAGCCTCTGTGACATAAACACACATGCTCTGTTTTTGAATAAATCAGAGAGTCTGCCACCTACTGACTGCTGTGACACTGGGCAAATTACTTGACCTATTAAGCCTTAGTTTCCCCATCTGTAAAATGACAGTGTGCCCATCAGATGCGGTTGTCAGGAAGCCTAAATTTACACAACCCATGTTAGACACACAGAACAATGCCTGATTCATGAGAAGCACTTAGCAAACATTCATTATTGCTGTTTTATAGTCTTGGCAAAAAGAAAAAAGATACCTCAGACATCATGGAACCTAGCAGATCACTGGCACACCACTAGGTATTTTATATGTTAACTCCAAAACATATAAACACTGAGAAAACTTCAGAAACTCCAAATTTTCTACTGCATCTCCCTCTCTCAGAATGTCTGAAATTTCAAACTTAACAGAAAAAATCTCCTTTAGAATGTCCCCAAAACGTAATGTTTTGATCTCATTTTATGACTTCAAATGTGATACTGAAATGGTTTTCTTAGAAAATCCTCAGGAATGAAAGTGGTCACACCTATACACTGAGTGAGGGGCACCTGAAGGAACAGAAGCTATAGAGTAACCCCTGAGATGAAGAGTGTCTTTTTCTTTTAGGAATGAGTTCTATTCTCAAGTTAATCTTTTACAGTTACTCAAATGACTTGCCTTAGCCATGCAATAATAAAATAGAGATATAAGACAGTATCAGAGAAGACCTTGGGGATTTACAAATTTTAATAATAATAATGAATCTAAATTAATTCCCACATTGGCTTCCATTGATATTTCTTCTCCTTTTACAATTAAAGTCTCTATGTTTCCCACATACATTGGTAAAATGTAAAAAAAATCGTGTTCTATCCTTTTCTTTTGTAATACTTGTTAAGACACTAAAATGGTAGTAGCATTTTTTTCTGACACTAAGAATTCAATTTTTTATAGTTTTTACATTAACAATTTAAAAATTTTATTCCTCTTAATTTAAAAAATAGTATATTTATTGGAAATAACTCAAACATTAGAGTGTATAGAACTTAAACACAAGTCTTCTGTGATCCAGCCCTGGAGATAACCACCTGGTTTAATGTACATATAGTAGCTTTATATTCATATATGTAAACATATATTTTTGTGTTTTTCAATAACATCATTCTGTAACTTGTTAATTATTAATGTCTTTTTCCACATAACTTGGCAAAATATCCAAGTTATTATATACATACCTACTTTGTTTCTTTCATTGGCTGCACGCTGTGTTGTAGGCATGTATGACAACTTACTCAATTCCTATTCACTGGTATTTGGGTTCAGCCCAGCGTTTTTGCTTTACAAAAAACACTGATGTCACCCTCGTAGAGTCCTTTGGTGCACCTATCTGAGTACTGTGCGGGAACACATTCAATGCCATGGAACTGCAGGGTCAAAGGGAAGGCCAACGACACAGGGGGTAAGAGTGTGATGCCCCATGCCCACACCAGGCTGCGTGCTCATCAACTTAAGTAATCTTGCCAACCTGTTAGGCATGTATAAAGCTATTAGATAAACATATTTTCTTTTTTTTTTTTTTTGGCTGTCTTCCTTCTATAAATGATCTATTTGGTCCTTTGCCCATTTTTCTAGTGTTACTTTTCTCCTAGTCTTTAGACTGTTTTATTATCTAATCAATGTTTTCCATCATACATCAATAAAATGATCATTTTGTTTCTTTTATGGCTTATGGTATCGATATGTTTTATATCGTTCATGGAAAGGACCCATTCTGAGCTTATAAATGAATAAATGATTACAGGTAGATAAGAGTAAATGGACTTATGCTAGCATCTTTCTTTTTTTAATGTTGACATCTTACTTTGGAATGTGAAGCGAGGGGGAGTTCAGGTGGTTTTACTTTTTTTTCCTCAAATGGCTAACAGTTTTCCAGTATCACCGTATTCCATCCTCTCCTGCTGATGTATGCTACACCTTTATATTCTGGGTTTAACTGTGAAAAGCCTATTCCTTCACTGATTGTCCTGAGGTAACAGCTCAGCTTTTTAAAATGTATTTTTCTTGTAAATTGTAGTAATATCTGCCAAGGCAAAACACTTGATTACTCTTTCTTTTTTCTCCCAGTGACTGTCACATATTTATTCTAAGAGCATTTATAAGAATGCTAGAATAATTTTGTCAAGTTCCAAAAACAATTTATTCAAGTCTTTTATGTCCTTCAGTAGACAGACTCTATTCTCACAGGTTCCATATATTCTTTTTAAGGTTATTTACTAGTGCATTTTGTGGTTAATGTGAATTGGGTGTTGTCTTCGTATGACTTTTCTAACAGTTGCTAAAATGTATTCAACATATTCATTTTATTTTCAAAAAGTCTTATGAATTATTATATTTATGTAAGAAAGCTATTGACTTGTATATGGATTTTGCAATTTTTACTGGTTGAATTTTGTGTTTTCAAAAACTTTTAATTTCTTCCCCATTATCTGCAAAAAAAATAATCTTGTCTCTTTATTGTAAAATACAGGTAATGGTACAGCAAGTACCTCTATCATGTTTCTAACTTTAAGGGAAATTTCTTTTAGGCTTTAGGCTTGAAATACAAATATAATTTTAAAAAATCACTTTGAGGAAATATCCTCTAAAGACATAAATAAAGACAGATACTGTATTTTATCAAATACTCACTCTTTTGATCTATTCATGTGATGAAGTTCCAGATTTTGAACAGCTCTTGTATTCCTTAAACAAATTCCTCCCTACTTGGTCATGCTTTTCTTAAATAACCAATTTAATTTCTCTTATAAAAATACTTTTTTCCCCCCAAGCATTTTTTGCATCAATATTCCTAAGTGAAACTGGACTGCATTTTTTTGGTCAGGTTTTGGAATCAAGATTATTTTGGCTTTAAAAAATTTCATCATGTTTTTGTCCTTTTATGTGGTTTACTTTCTCTTGACTCTACTTTGGTAATTTGTATAATCCTAGAAAATTATCCATTTTATTCAGGTTTTCAAATTTATTAAGAGAAATGTACAAGTCTCTTCCACATTATGTATGTCTGAGCTTAAGTTCCTCTTTCTCTCTTTAGTAGGAATAGATGTAATTCATCTCATTGGACTTGTCAAAGGATTAGCTCTTGGATTTCCTTTTTAATTCTAGTTGTCAATTCAACTGTTCTGTTTTCTAAGTATTAATTTCTGTCCTTTCTGTATAGTTCCCTTCTTTTTGTTTGGCTAAGGTTTTCACATTGTTGTTTTTTTTCTAATTCTGATTTTGATGACTTTATTCATTTATTTTCTGTAACAGATATTCTGAAATGTGAAATTCTTTTCTGTGTGGCTGTTAATCTACATACCTTTTCCAAGTTAAGACTGTCTTCAGTTCGACTGTCCTCTGAGTTGTCTGTGTTCTTCTCGTCATCCCCTTTATCTGCATTTGCAAATACAGAGGCCACTCGGACCACAGGCAAGGGTACATCCCGAGGGACAAACCTAACTGAGCTGATGGGCATGGTCCACAGTTTAATTTTCTTAAAAGATTTTGTTTTGGCAGAATACCGTGATTCACAGACAAAAACATCCTCATCACGAAAGTTTTCTGGGCATAATTTAAAGTATTCCTGGGAAATATAAGAATAAAATTAATTAGGTGAATTTCTGAAAACCAGTTAATCCAAAAAACGAACACATACAGCCACCAACCAGGCAGACAAAAGCTGAACTGTTAAGCCTTTCTGACAGCTGACAACAAATGGGAAATAGCTAGAGACACAGGAGTATTTCCTGGCTATAGAATGGCCTCAATTGATTAAATACAAGCCCCTTAGCTTAGCTAGCTTCCAACAGCTCCTTTGAAAATATACTAACATTTCAGAGAGTGTAATGTTCCTTAAACCTTTGAGTATATCAGACAGAGACAGAAAATGTACACCTTATTACTTAAAAACCACACTGACAATGTATAATGATCTCTCAGCAAATGTGCTTAGCACTGTAATGCATGGAGGCTGACCGCAGATGGCTCTGCAGTGAGGGCACCAAATGGCCTCCCATTGCCACGTTCAGGCTGACTTTTGCCCACTCATTACACATTGTCACACTGATACAGCTTTAAAAAAATATGCAGTTTAAAACAGACCTCCCAATTTTGTAAATATCGGTCTTTTGTGTTTATAAATTTTATTCTCTTGGAATGATATGTACATTTGGGTTCTTACCTTGACAAACATGACCACACATTTTCCTAGAATTTTATTAACAGGAACTTTATTGTAATAGTCACTCTTAAAAACTTCTTTTTCTAGAAATTTTCGTGTAGCCAGATGGAATGTTTCATTTGGCCGATAAAACCAACAGCCATACAACCATTTTTCACCTCAAAAACAAAAGGAGAAAATTACCATTAACAGAAATTATACCTTCTTTGCGAAACCACTCCATCCATTCTGCCATGGCCTGAACCTACCAATGCACTTTTTAGGCCAGTTCCTTAATCTAACTATCTTAGAAGAAGTCATATTTTAAAATAATGAAGTGTAATGAGGCCCAAAACATTACCACTTTTCCCCTCATAGCAAAAGATGTGTAACAGAGTGGGGGAGGGGACCAGAGCTGCTCTACTCCACTGGGGTCAGCACCTAAAGCTGCGTGTGCTGTTAAGGACACAGCACTCAGGTGAAGGGATTCAAAGGTATTTCACACGATGAACAGCTGAAGGGACTGGACTCCTTGGATCACACTTCTGCCTGCTTTTGGCTTCATTAACTCCTACTCATTCTCCATGTCTCAAATTAAAGGCAGTTGTTCCAGAAGCCTTTCTGAAATCGAACTCTAAGTCAAGGAACATGTCTTTCTATTAATAATTTTTTTTATTTGTGATTTTTATGGAAGTTGTTTTGCCCTTGGCCTTTTGTTCTTCTGAATCTCTGCCATCCTATAGAATTTGGCTCATGGTGTGTTTTTAATAAATACCAGTGGAATGAATGGATCTCAACCAGACTTCAAGAACCTGCATTTCTTTTGATTCAACTGTGCCACTGCCCAACACGTTAGATCCTATGTTTTTCATATAACAGATGCTTAATTATATTTACTGATACACTGTGGAATAACTCATGTTGGAAGGCACAAGACATCTTAGTTACCATTTTCTTCCCTGAGGACCAAGGATTAATAAAGTGGTTGCATCGCCAATCTGCCCTTCGATTTACTTTTATTTTTTTTTGTTGTTGTTTAACTTTTTTTTTTGGTATCATTCACATACAATCACATGAGCAACACTGTGGTTACTAGATTCCCATTATCAGGTCCCCACTACATACCCCATTACAGTAACTGTCCATCAGCATAGTAAGATGCTATAGAGTCACTACTTGTTTTCTCTGAGGCTATACTGCCTTCCCCGTGGGCCCCCCCCACCTCCAACGTTATGTGTGCTAATCGTAATGCCCCTTATTCCCCTTCTCCCTCCCTTCCCACCCACCCTCCGTAGTCCTTTTCTCTTTGGTAACTGTTAGTCCATTCTTGGGTTCTGTGAGTCTGCTGCTGTTTCATTCCTTCAGTTTTTGCTTTGTTCTTATGCTCCACAGATGAGTGAAATCATTTGATACTTGTCTTTCTCCACATGGCTTATTTCACTGAGCATAATACCCTCTAGCTCCATCCATGTTGTTGAAAATGGTAGGATTTGTTTTCTTCTTATGGCTGAATAACATTCCATTGTGTATATGTACCACATCTTCTTTATCCCTTCGATTTAAAACAAACTTACCAGCAGTATCTTCCCACAGTCTCTCAATACAGACTATATGTGGTTGCAGGCTGGCCTCTGCAGGCTCCACATAGACATAATCCCCAACATGGTACATGCTGTTCCTGAAGCTGCAGTCCTGGCTGTATGTGCGATGTAAGCCTGAGAGGCCCGTAGCGCACGAGGGATCTTCACTCTTTTCAGCTTCTTGGGTAAAAAAGAGAAAAAGGTCCTTGTTAAAAGTGGGTTGGGATAAGATGTATGATTCAAACAATACCTACAAATATTTTAAATTCTTTTCTAGACATTCAAAGTCAGGGTTCAGGACAAACAGTATGATATCCACATTCCCCAATAGCTTCTACTCAAAATTGCTTTTGTGAATTGCAATCAAATGCCATTAATTTAAATAAATACATAAATAAACTTAGGATCTCATAAATAAAAATAATCACTTTAATAATACATGCTCACTACAGTCATTCTGGATGATATAGAAAGGTAGAAAGGTATAAAGAAGAAAACTGGTCACTTGTAAATCATGTAATCTCAGAGATAATCTCCTAAGTACTTTGTCTCCATCTTAATACCTCTGAAAAAAAATTTCCCCTAACAGTTATTACATGGATATGTCACAATCAGTGGAGTTTCAGAGTTGAGGAAATACGGAGTATGTATACTGTACAATACAATGTAAGCTATTTTTTGTATACACTTAATATATCATGAACCCTTCCTGAGATAAATGCTTTTCAAAGAAACTTTTATTTTTGTTAAATAAGACTTTTTAATGGCTTCCATACAAGCCATTATCACAAATACCATAGGTGGTTTTTTTTTTTTGAGGATTATGCTTTGCCCACATCTTTGATTACTTCCTTAGGATAATTTTCCGTAAATAGAACAGTTGGAAACAAGCATTTTAGATGCTTTTTCCAAGCCGACCCCAAAAGTCTATATAGCAAGGGGACCCTCCTTTTCCTTTCTCTATTTCCTAACACTGGCTATTATAATTTTTTTAAAGTTTTGCCAATTTTCGTGGAAAATGTTATCTATATTAATCAAATGAAACCTGGGATATATGCAGCAGGCTCACATGGTTCTTGGGAATTTTACACCAGCAGAACACTGCTCACTGGTCTGGAAGGGATAGAGCATAAACTGAAAGAAAGCCGTTAACCCCCCTGAATCCCAGAGACAGGAAGCAGCCTGATAAAACAACTCAGCTGCAAATATGTGCTACCTTTCATGAAAAAGGATGATCCAGAGGGCAGGGTTTTGGGCCATAGCGGACTATTTTCAGGCCTTAAAACCTAATGAAACACAATGGAGCTGGATTTCAGAATTGCTTAGAATTGATGACTCTTTTTTTGTCCATCTCTCCCTTTGTGAGTGGGCACATCTGTTATCCTATGCATGTCCCATCACTACAGCACAGGAGCACAAAGCCCGTTTTCTGGTTTCACAGCTGCACAGGTGGAAAGGAACTGTGTCCCAGGATGGGTCACCCACACACCTATTTTAGATGATTTAAATGATGAGATTCAGGACTTTTGACCTGATGATATTAGATGAGATTCTGGTACCTGGTAGAGGGGTGTTACTGTAACAGACACCTAAAAAATATGGAAGTGACCTGGGAATTGGGTAGTAAGCAGAGATTGGAAGAATTCTGAGGAGCAAGGCAGAAAAAGCCTGGGTTGCCTTCAGCAGATTGTTGGCAGAGAAACGGATATTGATGGCTCGGCAGCTGAAGGTTCAGAAGGAATGAAGGACATGCCACTAGCAAGTGGCAGGAGGGGACCCTTGCTGTAAGTGACAGAAGCTCAGCAGGACTGTGTCCTGCCACTCTTTGAATTTTGGGCCTCCGGGGCTCATCTTTGTTGTCATTCTACTTCCTTAAAGATTTTGTAAACTTATCTTCTAATCCTTCTCAAAGTCTTTCCTTTTTTCTTTCTTTTTTTTTTTTTTAAACTGAGAGCAGATAGTGTTTTTTTTTCCAGGAGAGCAAGGCAGAGGCTTTTATTTAGAGAGAAAGTGAGAGGACAGAGCTCTTGGCTCAGGCCAGGAGGGGACAAGAGAGTCCCTAGTCTTTCCTTTCTTTACCTAAAAAAAATTTCTTATTAAATGAATTTGACACATAACATTGTATAGATTTAAGGTGTGTTAAGTGTTACTTTGACACATTTTATATATTGTTGCCAATGCAGCGACACTTACCCCATACATCACTGCGGCCACCGCTGTGCCCACACACACTGTACTGCCCATTAGAGCTCTACAGCTTATTTACTGCCTGTTGTGAGTTTGTACCGTAGACACTATCAATCTTATGCCCCATCCCTTCTGCTACCATTTTTTAACAGCTTTATTGAGATGCAATTCACACACCATGCGATTCACTTATTTAAAGTGTACAATTCCATGGTTTTTGGTATGTTTTAAAAATTATATCATAAAATTTGCCATTTCTGACCATTTTTAAATGTATGATTCAGTGGCATTAATTACATCCACATTGTTGTGCACCCATAACCACTGTCTATTTCCAAAACTTTACCTTTACTCCAAACAGAAACTCTGTCACCATTAAGCAGTAACTCCTCATCTCTCCACACTCCCCAGCCCCCCACCCCTGGTCACCTCTAATCTACTTTCTGTCTCTATGAATTTGCAGTTCTAGGTACTTCATGTAAGTGGCATCACACAACACCTGTCCTCTGGTGTATGGCCTACTTCAGCGAGTAGTTTCCAAGGTTCATCCATCTACAGCACACGCCAGAACTTCACTCCTTTCTATGGCTGAATAATAGTCTATTGTATGTATATACCCCATTTTGTTTTATCTATTCACCTGTCGATGGACACCTGGGTTGTGTCTGCCTTTTGGCTGTTACCCGAGTTCTGGAGTCCTGCTTTCTTTCAGTCCCTTTGCACACTGGCTCAGGAGCAGAACTAGTAATCATTTGGTAATTCAATGTGTAGCCAGCCATTCAAGGCACTGCCAAACTATCTTCCACAGTGGCTGCACTTTACATTCCCACCAGTAATGAATGAAGGTTCCAATTTCTCTATATCTTCAACACTTATTATTTACCCCCACCCTTTTATTTTTATAACAGTCTTCCGAAAGGGTATGAAATATTTCACTGTAGTTTAATTTGCATTTCCCTGATTAATGACATTGAGCACTTTTTCATGTGCTTATGGTCATTTGTATAATTCCTTTGTCAATATGTCTAGTCAAATCCTCTGCCCATTTTTGGATTGTGTCATTTTGTTGTTGAATTCTTTATATATTCTGGATACTAAATCTTCATCAGATACATATGATTTCTCAATATTTTCTCTCATTCTCTGGGTTTGCCATATTTTTAACTTCCAGGAAATTTTCTGTTTTGTGAATGTCCATTTATTTATGGCCTTCTGCTCATGTTTTATGGATGCAGACAATTGTCATCTCTGAATGTTTAAATTCTAGTTTAGTTGATTTTCTTTTAAAACTTTTCTCCTGCTGTCTTCACTTGTTTTGTTTCCTCCAAGGTCCAAATTTTCTTTTTTTTTGTTTCTGTCTTACATCTTAAGAGATTTTCCTTAAATATTTGGTCCTATTTAAGTAAATACCTGCCCCTATTTAAAAGTGAAATGCTAAAAAAAAGCTGAGTAGAAGCTCTTTATGCATGTGGAGACTCAAGGACTTCCTTGGGGGCCTCCAGATGTTATTATCTTTAATTTTCCCCCATTGCCTGGGGGCCATTACTCAAGAGAAAAGGCTCCTGTCTCGGAACTACAAGCCTGCCTGGCAGCACAGGAGTGCACAGGGCCAGGGGGTCACACTCTCCATTGGAAATCCTGCCGCAACCTCCTCCCTCTTCAGAGTAGGCCTCCTCTTCCCCGAGGTCTCCTGGTGGCTCTGCCTCTAGACTCTAGGAGAAACAGCCACAGAGGAAGGGCTGGAGAGAGACGGAGGTCCAGGTCCACCTCCTTTAAATTTAGACTTAACTGATTCTGTTTTCAGCCCCATGTGGACCTCCGTTGTCGTAAATACCTAACATTCTATTCCCTGCGCAGTTCTAGACAGGAATGAACACGCATCACATCTATCGATTTTCTAGCTTCCAAATATTAATTGCCATTGTGTCCCATTCATTGTTTCCGTTTCTTTTTTTGAGGGAGGGGAATGTTTTTGCATTTATGTGTTTTATTTTAAAATCCCCTTTCCATCCTTTTAGAGGTATTTTGGGAAGGAGTAGCAACAGGCATTTGCATATCATCTGAAAGTCCTTTCCCTTGTTCCTTTGCTTATTTAACCCTCCCTCTGTGAGCAGTTAGCTCTGGCACTTAATATAAAAACAAGTGATGTGAGGCCCTCTAGTTTCCCTTAATATCCATCAATTATTGAGAAACCTGTTATGGCTTAAAAACAGAAAGGGTGAGTGACAAACACGACCACTATCCTACCTTCCGGTGCTATGCTGTCTGCTGGCATTCCTAAAGTAAGCTGCCAAGGGTGATCGGAAGCAGATGTGTTCTCTCCTAGCTGCAAACAAGCAACCAGAGTAGCCCTGGGAGGCTCCTGCTTCTAGCACCCCGGCTCAGTGCTTCCCATGCTCACTTCACGGTCTACGGCAAAGCATCACTTCTCAATTACTTTAACCACATTGCTGGGAAATGTGGGCTCTGAGTTAGTGCAAGAAAAGGGCATTCACAGGGCTGCTGTGAGCGCCTCGGAGAGCGGCTCTGGCACAGGGCTGCCTTTCCTGCACTCAGCAGTGGCCCGCAGTTCATGAGGCTGGCACCACTGTAACAGATGACATGCTCACATGTCATCGCTGATCCAGAAGTTCCTGTTCTCCCACTCATTACAGCAGAGGGCTCGGAGCTGCAACTCCCAGACTTAGGTGTGCGTCAGAACCACCCACAGGACTTGTTAAAACAGACTGCTGGCTCTCACCCTCAGTGTTTCTGCGCTGGCTCGTCTGGAGCGGGACAGAGCATCTGGGTTTCTCACTAGTTCTCAGGCAGTGATGCTGCCTGCCCACAGGCCACACTTTGAGAACTGACATAGAGTAAATCAAGGGGCAGAAGTCATTAATATTGTATTGCCAAGGAAAGTGTCAGCTAAGTTAAAAAAAAATTCCCTGTATACAAGATTGTGTCACTAGAAACATGGATGGTTCCAAATGTCACACCCGGTATCACACTGGCATTTCCTGTTCTATCTTTCACTGCTTTCTGTTCTGATCTTTATTATTTCCTCTACTTACTTCGGGTTTTATTTAATCTTCTTTCTCTTTTTGAGGTGGCAGCATGGATTTAGTTCAGATTTTTTTTTTCTAATATATGTGTTTAAAGCTATAAATTTCCTTCTAATAATCATATTAGCTATATCCCATATGTTTTAATAATATGTTGTGTTTTCATTTTCATTCAGTTCAAGATTTTTCTAACTGCCTCTGTGATGTCTTCTTTGACCCACTGGTTATTTAGAAGTGTACTGCTTAACTTCCAAATATTTTGGGATCTTCCAGATTTCTTTCTGTTCATTTCTTACCTAATCCTGTTGTGTTCAGAGAACAAACTTGGTATGATTTCATCCTTTTACATTTTTCAAACCTGTTTTATGACCTAGCATATGGCCCATCCTGATAATGCTCCACATGCACTTGACATGAATGCATTATTCTGCAGACACTGGGTGCAGCGTTTTACGTACGTCAGTTCAGTCAGGCAGGCTGATGGTCCTTGTCTGAGAGTCAGCTTGGCTGCTCTGAGAAAGGCTAGGTGGCTGTAACCACAAAACACTCATTTCCTACAGTTATGGAGGCGGAGAAGTCTATGATCATGGGGCCTGCAGACCTGGAATCTGGTGAGGGCCCATGCTGTGGTTCACGGACAGCTGTCAGCTGGCTCTGCGTCTTCTTATAATGGGGCTGTGGTATCACCCCATCCCAGTGTGGTAGCCCCACCCCCAGGTCCACATCCAAACCTATTACTTCTAAATACCAGCCCCCTGGAGATTAGGTTACAATGGGAGTTCTGGGGGACACATTCAGTCCATAGCAATGCTTCTCAAGTCTTGCAAATTTTTGCTAATTTTTATCTAGTTCATCTTTGAGTTGCTGAGAAAGGAGTACTGAGACAATAATGGTTGAATCATTTCTCTTCTTAATTCTGTCAGTTTTTGCTTCATGTATTTTGTGACTTCATTGTTAGGCGCATATATTTATAAATATTGTATGTTCCCAATGTCTTGACCCTTTTAACATTATGAGATGTCTCTCTTCATTTCTAAGTAATATTTCTTCTCTTAAAGTCTATTTGTCTGATATTAATTCAGCTACTCCAGCTCCAACATGGCTACTATTTGCATGGCATCTTTTCTCTTCCTTTTCCTTTCAATCCATTCGTGTCTTTGAATTTAAAATGAGTCTCTTCTAGACAGCATATAGTTGGATCTTTTTAAATTCAGTCTCATAATCTATGCATTTAATTGGAACAGTCAGTCTGTTTGTAGTATGTAATGTAATTATTGATATGACTGACTTCAAGCCTACCTTTTTGCTGTTTGTTTCTTATGTCTTTTTGTCCCTCTTTTCCTCCTTTACTGCCTTCTTTAGTGTTAAGCAAGTATTTCTGGTGTATCATTTTAGTTCCTGTGTTGGCTTCTTTTTTTGCTATTTGTTTTTAGTGGCATTACAATATGCATTTTATTTATTTATTTATTTATTTATTTTACAATATGCATTTTAACTCATTACCATCTACTTCAGGTTAATACTGACTTAATTTCATTAAATGTTGCAAGTTTATGCTAATGTATCTCCATTCTTATGAGCTATTACTGTCACATATATTACTTCTATAAATGTTATAAACCTAAAAATGGTGTAATTATTCCTTCAAACAATCTAATGTTTTTTAAAGAATTTAGGAGAAGAAAAGTGAAAAACGTACACAATGTTTCATGTTTTACCATGTCCATACTTTTCCGTCCACACGAGGAAAGCTATGCTACTGAACCAGGGCCAGAACTGGGTGGGCGCACCGTAGCAATGCTTTCTAGCCCCAGCTGGGCCCGAGGCTTTTCTCTACCAATTTCATTAGGAAGTATTAAGCCCTCACACTTGTGAATTAGTTGACTCTGTTCCCGAAATACTAGGATAACAGCTGTGTCAATGTAAATTCCAAACTTATCCAGTTTGGTGAACAAGTGGATAATGATAAAAACATTTCCATCTTACCATGTGTATTCTCAGAGTCAACACACTGTGTCTTCATTTACGCAAATGGGACTCTTCCACAGCTAGGACAGATTATAATATTTCTTCCTATTTAACAAATGAAAAGAAACCAACCTCGTTTTTCTTCTTCTCGTTTTAGTTTATCTTCCTCTATTTCTTTTGGTAATTTTTCCTTTTTCTCTTTCTCCACATCATTATGTAAATGTTTCGTGGTGTAGCTGAGTGCTGGTGAAAGAAGGATCTCTCCATTTTTGCATAGTTCATCACGAATTTTGATAAAAAACTGCTGAAGTTCTACTGCATCCTCATATATTTCAGAATCTGTCCTGTAACGGCATCAAGAATATCACTGACTCACAAGATGCTTCTTTTAAACCCCTTATTATAGGTTAAATTTAAGTAAGTGCTTCGTTGATATGTGAGTTGACCTAACAGTACTTCTGTACGGTTCTCAGAAGGGTACCCCACGAGGTCTGTTAGCACAGAACCAGAAGCACCCTTTCACCTTGGTGAGCCTCATGCCCACCAGTTTCCTCTTCTGAAAGGCTCCCTCCTTATACGGCTCATGTAAAAGGAAAGGCCTCATGCAGTTCCCTGGGGAGAAACACTGCCACATGCGCCAGCTGACTCTGGCAACAGAAGGGGGCTGCCGGAGTCACACACTTACACGAAGGGTCCTCACATGTGCAACACTTACTTGCATCTACTCTTTGGATTAATTTTTACCTTCTCTTAATTGAAGGACCAACACATTATATAAAGCATTAACAAAAGATGCAAGCCATGTCCACTTTCTTTTTTTGGGATCCGTGTCATGGTTGCCTGCACTGGCATTTGAACCTAAACTGCAAAGTCATGAGGGTCTCCATTAACGGTTACAGGCCTCAGAGGGAGTGTTCATTACAGTTTTCCAGAAATAACTACATGACTCCAGAAACTAGCAGAGATACCATATTAAAAGATGGCAAAAATTTATGTCTCATATTGAAAACTTTTTAAAGATTACGCCTTTATAAAGAACTACTCTTTCCTCCTCTCATCTACCTCCTTTAGAAAATGAGAGGACTAGGCAAAGTGAACTTCAGAATTTAGACTGGAAGAAATTTTATTGCCATCTCTAATCCTCTAATCCACTGGGGTCTGAGAAGGCTTAAATATCATTCCACTAATTATCCATACCAGGGTCTGAAAAATCATTCACAAAGGTAACCACAAAGTCTTGGCAGCAGTTATGGAGACATTCTGGTCAGGGGAGTGTGGCAGATGTGGCAAAACCAGACAGCTGCGTGCTGACACTCACCACTAGAGCATCAAACTTAAGCCTCCAGAATGCCTCTCCTTATCAGCAGAGATGAACTGGCAATCTAAAAACACTGCCAGTAACACCCTCAGCGGATGTTTCTGGAAAGCTTTTAAAAATCTTCTCAGGTGCTAATATTTATAGGAAACCAATAAAAATAAAACTGGCCAAGGGAAGAAACATCTCTGCCACTGTTTTGATGCCTGTTTTCTGAATAGAGATATCTGAAGACTGTTCACTTGAAATTAAAATTCATTTCATAATAGCTTAAAATTTAAGTACAAAACTAGAAGTGAAAACACATCTGACATATTCTTCTGTTCTGTTTATTTAAACAAAGTAATATGAAGAATGTGTAATCTAAGCAGCTGGGTGTCCCCTGTACACGCAAGAACAAAAACTGAAGACGGGAAAATAAGTAACTGCTACCCCCCTTCACTGGTGGGTAATTTCACACAGATATTTAGTAGAAGGAAGTAAGATTATAGGAGACTTTTAGTGCTTCCTTTCCCCTGTCTTCTCGCGGGTCCCCTTACCTGCTAGGGCATTAGAGGACTTAATCCCGGAACACAGCCAGCAGATGAGGAAAACCAGCAGCTAACTGGCATGAGTTAGTGCTGTGCTGTCACTGAATACTGATCATGGGCAAACCACTGTCACCTGCGTGAACTTTTCTATGCCTCACTGTTCAGATTCCTTTTACTGCAGGGTGTGAAGTCCTGCGTGATGCTGGGTAGCAGCAGTGGGTAGAGGTGAGCGTGAAGCATGAAAACTGTTGACAGATCATCATGGAAATCTGCATGTGGGCCTCATTACACTCACAAGCTTGGTATTTCTGGGGTGTCTATCTTCATTACTGGAGATACAGCAGATAAAGCCATGATTTATCATTCATTGAACTGATGCATCTCCACCTCAGCAGCATGGGGTTATTCTTAGGTACTGTAAGCAGCCACACAACAGCTTTCATCACAAAGATAAGAAAGGCTTCCCTTAAGCAACCTAAGTGTCCATCAGTAGATGAACGGATAAAGAAGATGTAGTACATATGCACAATGGAATACTATTCAGCCAGAAGAAAGAAACAAATCCTATCATTTGCAACAACATGGATGGAGCTAGAGGGTATTATGCTCAGTGAAATAAGCCAGGCGGAGAAAGGCAAGTACCAAATGATTTCCCTCATTTGTGGAGTGTAACAACGAAGCAAAACTGACGGAACAAAACAGCAACAGACTCACAGACTCCAAGAAGGGACTAGGGGTTACCAAAGGGGAGGGGTTGGGGAGGACGGGTGGGGAAGGATGGAGAAGGGGATTGAGGGGTATTATGATTAGTATACATGGTGTGGGGTAGGGTCATGGGGAAGACAGTGTAGCACAGAGAAGACAAGTAGTGACTCTGTGGCATCTTACTACACTGATGGTCAATGACCTCAATGGGGCATGGGGGAGGCTCGATAATATGGGTGAATGTAGTAACCACATTGTTTTTTCATGTGAAGCCTTCATAAGAGTGTATATCAATGACATCTTAATAAAAGAAAGGACTTTCCTTATGTTTTGTAACAAAGTTCTGGACAGGACAGTGAAAGTGACCTCTATCTCATATAAATGCACTTTGGACTCTGCCTTCCAGGCCTCAAAGGCAAAAACCAATCCTGTCAACTCTAGCGCAGAGCTCCTTCTCTACCACCTTTACAAATATCAAGTTGTTATATGTTGTCTCATGCCTGGAATTGTTTTTCCCCAAGCAGAGGTCTATCCCAACCACCAGACCTCCAGCTCAGGTCTCACATCCACAGCTATGCCCCATGACTGGTGTCTTGGTGACTAGCTCAGCAGCAGCCCTCTGCCGTGGAGAACAAGATGAGCTACCACACTGACCAGCTGTGTGGCTCCGGGTGCTTCATATGCCGACTGGGAAGATGATCACTTCCCTAAAATGCCTACTGGAAGGGTTAGAGATTCTCCACATAAAGGGCTTAGCACGGTGCTTTACAAGGAGCAGGGGCTTAACAAGAACAGTAAATGTTAGTGTTAATTTTTCTTTCAAGATCCAGAGCAGTGGCAGGCTTCACAGATTCCCAGCTCAGATTACCCCACACCTACTGCGTAAAGGTCTACCTCTCAGTGTGACAGAAGGTAAGCTCTAGGAAGGTGGAGCTGGTACTGTGAACTTTTTAGAGGACCCCAAGGCTCCAGGAGCACACAGAAGACACACTGCAGTTGCTGAACGGAAACTCTTTCAACAACTGAGTATTCTTTAGTTAGGTGGCAAAGACGCACCACAAAATTAGAAGGGAACTTAAGTTTGAAACTTAAATATGGTTACTTCTTTTAGAACATTTAAGGTCTGCAGAAGATACTAAAGAACTAATCCAGGGTTTAAAAAAAGAAAGAAGCCCTTTTAGGTACTTGAAACAGCCATTTTTTTAAGTTAGTCTAACCTCAGATCAGTACCTTAGAGCTATTTTAATTTATTTAAAGCATGCTTGGATTGACCTCATATTTTAAAAGAGAATCATGTTACTATTTCTAGTTACAGGCGTTTTATCCCTTAAAAAAACATGTCTGTGAAAGGCTGTATTTTATGAATTTATGCCTTTTAACAGATATTCAACTTTGTCTACTCCTCCTTTTCACTGGCCCTAATCTCATTGATTCAGTAATGAGCTTTTTCTCCCTCACAGTATACTTGCTTTCCACAAGTTTTAGCTAATTAGAATTTAAAATAGCGCCCCACCAACTGTAATCATGTACCTTAGCCAAAATAGTGCATCAAAGCAAAATTTTTTGCACTAAAGAGCATACATTCTCAAAAAGAAGTGGCTTTGGAACATACCTATTCATCCTCCTTGCCCTTTCCAGTACTTCAAACATATGCTCTTGAAATAAATCAAGCCGCCGGTAGCGATTACTTTCAACATTCTTCCTAATTATGTCAAAAGTAAGAGGAGGTTTGTTGGGAAAGCTGGGATCCACAGCAGGAATTTCAGCTAAGGAGTCACTGTAGCATCTTCCCTCATCATCCTGATGACTCATGACTGACACAAAAAGGTTGTGGATAAGCTCCTGAATCAGCAAGGTCACATTTGGGACATGAGAGTCCTCATCTCCCTCTAGGTCTCTCCGAGTTTCAAGCAGGACTTTGTGAAGGACGAGGGCATCTTTGTAGATCAAAGATTCAGGCTCATTGTACGTACAGGCATTGTTGAACATCATGACGAAGTCCTCAACCATGGAGTCTATATCTTGGTATTTGTTGGCCATCATGTGACTTCGGATTTTTTCCATGTCCATGGGTTTTTTAATGGTCAGATAGTAGTCAGGCAGTTCAGATCTGGAGGGAAGCCTCAGAAATATGGCACTGAGGCGGCGACCCCTTTTATCAGTATAGTTCTTTACAGCTTCATAGACTTCATTCAGTTTTTGCTGCATTGGAGTCATGTATTTTGATTTTTTAGGAGAAATGCCACTCTTCCTACCTAAAGGGAGAGAATCAATGTTAAATGGACAAAATGAAGTAAATCAATCCTTGCCAAGCTGAAATGTTATCTATCTAATCTTTAGTGTTAACTTGCTTTTACAAGAAATAAGGGTGGAAAAAATTAACTGACATCACAAGGAAGTGAACCAACTGGTCCAAAACTAGTAACTGATCAAGAAAGCGATCTAATTTCTACAGAGTCAACAGTATAAAAGTAAAAGAGCGAGGGGGGTTGTTCTAGGTTATGATTTTAAGGGCATAACAATCAAATGTAATATACAGAACTTAGACCCTGACTTGAAGAAACCAACTGTAAAAGTACATTTGTTAAGACAATCAGTAAAATTTGAAAATCTGTCAAGTAATAAAACAAGAAACCAAGAAATTGCTAATTTTGTTGAGTGTTATAATGACTTCACAGTTATTTATGAAAATATTTGCATATTTAGAGATGCCCATTGAACTAGGTAGAGATGAAATTATTTGATTGAATTTGCTTTAAAATATCTTAGAAAAAAAGGAGAAAAATGGATATAGGAAATAAGTATGGCTCAATCTTGATAAATAAAATGCAGAGGTAACAGATATACATAGGAGTTTATTGTACCATTCTTTTTATTTGCAAATGTTTGAAATTTTTCATGACCTAGAGAAATGAAAAGGAAATTAACATTACATGTTAAAATCTCCTTTCCCAAAACTACAAAAAAATGTATATTTATATATATTTAAATAGTGACTGTTAAATTCTCTATCTATCCATTCATCATCTATTGTTTGGTTCCTAACTCAATTTATGGAATTCTAGTTTTTAAAGGCATTGTGTCCCTAAAAAAGTAGAATAAAAGGTTCATTTCTGAGAACCTTCCATATGCTTTTACAATTCCATGAAAAGATAAATAAATGCCTTAACAAGAAGGAATCATCACTTAGCAATAAATTATATCCAAAGGTATTATTAAATTCAATCTATAGTCATTTCATGTAAAAAAAGCAGGGTCTGTTTTTCCCTTTGCAGCAAATATGGCTCTAATGAGGACCTGACACCTCTGTCATTTGCTTGGTGGTTATTTTATTTATATATTTTAAGTAAGGAAGAAACCTCTTGTTTAGCCCAATGGTATAACTTACTCTTATTGTCTTCTCTTCCCTCACAGCTTTTAATAAAACAACCAGCCACAGACCACATTCAAAAGATAGCTGAGTTGACTGACAGTACAGTGGCTGGACATCTCCAACTTCTCAAATTCTGTCAAGAAGGAGCTTCTGGGATTCATTTTTAATTCTAATAATCAGCAAACAAACAAACAAACGCACACACACACACAAATCGGCCACAAGACTCTTGCAGACATCATCATATGGAGAACAAAATAACATTTGCTATTTAACATTTACAAAATGTTCACTGCATTCAAGAAATATAATAAAACCTTGGGCGTTATATTCTATTCTCCAAGGGCTTCCCACAAGTTTAACTACTTAAAATACAGAAGAGAGCATTTGGGAGGAGGGAAGAGCCTCCATGCAGGAGTGCAAGCTCAAATACATTGACCAATTCACTGAATATTATTTCAGTAAGTCAGTAATCCATCCCTGGCGGACTAAACCGAGTGACCAAAGTGTGAGGCTGCCTTACTCAGCTTGAGTTTGGGAGAAGCCATGTCGTCATCATCAGGCAGCGGGCCCAGCTCTTTCCTCTTATCCTTGAGTAACTTCTCAAGGATGTGTGCATCGTTGTACACCTGTATTCCATAAATATATTTACAATTATTTTCTAAAAAACTTTCAATTGAAGTGTAATATGCATCCATAAACAAGTCTGAAAAACACAGGTTCAGATAGCTGGGAACTAAGTTAGTGAAGCCTGAGAGCACCCAGAGCAACAAAAGCCCACCTTGTGGGCAGCCCAGGCTGCCGCCGACTGGCTTCGGTGGCTCTGGTGCACAGACACGCGCGCTCAAGTTTGAGAGCCCAGGAGAAGCACAGCAAGTGTTCACAGAAGTTCTGAAATGTGTTTACATGTCTTGTTTCTTTATAAATCTCTCTTCCACTGTACCCTCAAGGTTCTTAGCTTGATGGAAATTAAAAATATCTGATAATTTGGAGCAATATCTCCAATACTGTTAAACAGGACTTAACATCAGCCAAAGTTCACAATCTGGAATCTGATCTGTGAGCAGCAACAAGCCCTGCTTAGGCTCTCTCTGAAGACTGAGCCAAGGGTGGTAATGTATAGTCAAGAACATGGTTCTCACTTAATACTCTGTCCACAGGCTCTCTACTCCTTGACTGGTACCAGGGCAGCAGGGCCGAGGGGGTAAGTAACCTCTTTTCTTTGATCATCTCTCTTAAAGTGGTTTTCCCCTACCAAGGGCAGACCAAGAGTTCTATCGGGCAGTGACACTCAGGACGCTCAGGACGGTGCAAACCGCATGCTAGAGCCATTACTCTGACCACAAGCACCCTTGGAGCCTACTTAATTCTATATTCAAATGTGATACCAGAAGAAAGGAAATATAAGTGATTATATATATAGATATTTTTTCTGGGGGTTTTAAAGTAGATAAAGGAAACTTGAAATGATATAGGCACCCACACCCATGTTCACTACAGCATTATTTACAATAGCCAAGAAATGCAAACAACTAAGATAAGAAAAAAACCCAGGAACAACATGCTCTGTAAACATTCACACAGGAATATTATTCAGCCATAAAGAAGAATGAAATCCTGCCACTGGTGACAACATGGATAGACCTTGAGGACATTATGCTAATTAAAGTCAGTCAGACAAGGAAAGCCAGATACCATATGATCTCACTTATATTAGGAATAAAAAAAAAAAAACACCCCAAAAACAAAAAAATCCAAACTCACAGAGAACAGATTGGTGAATGCCAGAGGCAGGATGTGGGGATGGGCAAAATGGAAGCACTGGGTCAAAAGGTAGAAATAAATAATTCACAGTTTTAAAACAAATAATTCACAGGGATATCATGTACAGCATAGTGACTATAGCTAGTAACACTGTATTGCATATTTGAAAGTTGCTAAAAGAGTAAATCTTAAAAGTTCTCATCACCAGAAAATACATTTTGTAACTATATATGGTGACAGATACTAACTAGACTTACTGTGGTGATCATTTTGCAATATATACAAAATATGGTTCAATAATACAATGTTAAAACTAATATAATGTTGTTTCAACTGAAATTAATGTTACTGAAACTAATTGAAATAAAAATGTTATAGACCAAGTATACTTCAGTAAAAAAATAAAGTAGATAAAGGATGTGCATATGAAATAGAAAAAATAACAAAAGTAAGAATGGATCTTAGATATACCGATAAAAAACTGAAAATTAAGATGTTTCATAACAAAATGAATTATTTAGAGGTACACTTAGGGGAATAACCTTCTTTTTATATATTCATACCATCTTAGGGACTACCCTTGAGAGATATGGCTGGCTATTGAGGACAGTAATAATGATGATAAAATATTTTAATGCCATTGGCTTTTCTTCAAGTGCTTATTCAATACCGGGCACTGTACTACATGCTCTGTATGCATATCTCATTTAAATCCTACAACAACCCTGATGCAAGTACTATTATTATTCCTAATTTACAGATGAGGAAATTGAGGCTCAGAAAAGATGTTACTTATATAGGGATTTACAGAGCAGGATTCAGATCTAGGATGGATGTCAGATTATAGAATATGAAAATTTAATCTTTATAATGTACTGCCCCCACTTCATTTATTTTTATTAAAGTATTATTGATATACACTCTTATGAGAGTTTCACATGAAAAATAATGTGGTTACTATATTCACCCATCTTATTGAGTTCCCCTCCATACCTCACTGCAGTCACTGTCCATCAGTGTAGTAGGATGCCAGAGTCACTATTTGCCTTCTCTGTGCTACACTGTCTTCCCCATGATCCCCCCCACACCATGTGTGCCAATCATAATGCCCCTCAGTCTCCTTCTCCCTCCCTCCCCACCTGCCCTCCTTCGCCCCTCCCCTTGGTAACGCTAGTCCCTCGGAGTGAGTCTGTGAGTCTGCTGTTTTGTTCCTTCAGTTTGCTTTGTCTCGTTACACTCCACAAATGAGGGACATGATTTGGTACTTGTCTTTCTCCGCCTGGCTTATTTCACTGGGCATAATATCCTCCAGTTCCATCCATGTTGTTGCAAATGGTAGGATTTGTTTCTTACGATACTGCCCCCCACTTTAAACAACTAAGGAAAGACAGTGTTAAGATAGTCACTGAGAGTAAGGCCTCTAGATGTCTCTCTAAAAATGCATTACTCTCTGAGCACCCAGAGGAAGCCCGCCACCCTGGGCCTGCCCCACGTCCTTACCTGGGAGCCCTCCTCGTTGTAGTGCCTGGCATTCCGAAACATCAGCTTCATGTCTTCTATCATTCCCTCCTCCCCTGCGTATTTGTCATTGCGGATGTTATGCTCAATTATTTTTAAGTCCATTGGCTCCAAGATGATTTTATAATAATCAGGATAGTCTTTTTTGGATGGCTTAACCATAAATAAATCACAAAGTCTTCTGCCTGAACCTGGCTCACGAGCTTCAAGAACAACATTGAACAAGATTTTCATGCGCTGCTTTCTTATATTCTTTTTACTGTTGAGGAGGAGGCAGAAGGGGGAAAATGAGGACAGGTTCAGTTTTCTGTCTACAGGGAAGAATGTGAAACAATTTAATCTTGTGGGCAGGTGCTTCAGAATGATTATAATATACTGATTATATATGCTACCAACACAGTAAAAATGTTGGAAACTATAAGCAACTATTGGAAATTTCCAAAATAGCTAAAACATAATGACTCTGGCAGGAGCAGCCAGTGAACACCAGACAAACCTGTTTAGAATGTTTATGAAATTCAATGTTTGAAAAAAAATCTTGACTGACACCGGAAGAAAATGAAACTCTATTATCAACCAAAATATACTTTTTGTTTGAAGAAGAATAGAGCAAATGCAGAATAAAACTATGGATTCCCTATTGTTTCTAACAGTCTTCACTTCAAAAAAACAAAATGGAAAACCAAGAAGCCATACACACACAGACACACAAGCATTCCATCTCCTAAGACAGTTATTCTCAATACCTGCATATCCTGGGAACCAGAAAACAAAGGGAGGCTGTTTGCCAGACTCGTGTCTCTATAGTGGGTACAAGGCTTGCCTGCCTTTCTCCTGTCAGGGCAGTCCCTGCTCTCTCCCTCCAGCATCACCACCCCACAATCTCAATGTAGCTTAAAGACTAACAGGTCTGTGTTTCATCTGTGCTCTTGAGCAAATTTTCATCCTTGGTATGAATGAATCTCTGTCCTGTTCTCCAAATTTCCCCAGTGAGATGTGATGCTAAGAAACATGGGAATGGTATGAACAAAGCACCAGGGACCACAGATCAGGACCGTTTCCTAATTGTGAAGGAAACTGGCCCAGTAAACAACTTGCCCAAAGTGAACTGTTCAGTGAATTATTAGAAGAGGTATCTTCCAATATGACTCCTGGCCTACTGCTTGCATGTCTTTAGGACACTGATTTAAAATATTCTAGCCAGACTCAAACCAGCAGTCTCCAAGTCTCAGGCAGGTAACAGAAAGAAATGACTTAGGACTTAATTTCAATTTGACAAACACTTACTAAGATCCTATAATGTAGTACTTAGAAGTAAATCTTTTTATCTGTTTCTTATCTTATAAATGGAAGGAAATTCATTCCTGTACCAAACTATGTGGTGTGATGGGTCTCCTAGTTTAGTCCTCCAACTATTCACCCTACTGCTGGGTCATGAAGAAGCCAAAGGCCAGATGTTTTCTCTCCAAAGTTTTCTCTCCAAAATAAGCTTAAAAAAAAAAAAACCTCAAATAAAGAATAATTAAGATAAGAGAAGAAATTATCCTTAAGTCAAGATTTTAAAATGCCTCAGAAACGCTGTCTTCCTAGCATCCTGGGGCCAAGGTAACCTGAATGTGACTCAGGCAGGAGGGACAAGGACCTGCTTCCTAGGGCTGAGACCGTCTCAGCGCCGTGTCTCTCTCATTCTGCTTGTTTCCCTTCCTGCCATTTTCTCCCCTCTCAGTGTTTCTGTGCCTCTCTGTAAAGCAAGTGATTGTCAGAGGACTGCAGTCGGGGAGGAGCTGTACCCAGTGGGAACTATTTCTCCAAACAGGCACCCTGGCTGAAGATGCGAGAAGGCGAGTTCACTCAGTGCTGGACTTTAGCAGGTGGACAAGGGGAGAACCTGGGACGAAGCTCCCAAACCACACAGCTCCCCATCGGGGCAGACTGGGACAGACGCCTAACCTTCAGGAAGTGTCCAAAGAAAAATTCAGAACCTTAATCTGAAATCACAGAAACCTAAACTTAAAACTACCATGTAAAAAAAAATCTATACTTAGAACTACCAAACTTCAGAAATGTTTTTTTTTGGGTCTCACTTGGGGTTGAACTTCAAAAGGAAGACCCAGGAATTCAATTTTGAACCCTGAGCTTCACAGATCTCTTTAGTAGTCAATTCAAAGTGAAATCACCCCTGTTTCAGCAGTACCGAGGCCCTTACTGGACTGTGAGGCCAGGCTACTCCCTCCCTAGCTCGGGTGGGCCGTCCCGACCTCCAGGAGGCTTTTCCCTATGAAGCTACACATGCTCCAAACCGAGAGTGAGTCTGGGCAGATTTTCATGAGCTTTTTAAAGAGGAGGGAAAACTTTTAACTGAAATTTAGGGAATAAGTCAACAAAGTAAAAGAAGGGTGATTGGTTCATTCTTCCAACTCCAGTAACTCTGATACTAGGCAGCTTTGAATGGGACATAACCAAAACATCAAACCTATCCATATTTAAGAAACTGTTCTAATAACTGAAATGTACTCTTTTAGGACTTGCAGTACTAATATTATATTTTCTCCATTTGCATCATTCTCTCTTTAAGTGGTTTCCATTCTCAAAGGCAAGTAAAAGTTTTATTATTAGGGTCATTTATGATCGTCTCTGAATAAATCCAGTTTTGTTATTTTGTTTACATTTTTCTTGATCCTTATTATGCCCATCCCTTTTCATCTAAAAGAATGACTGGTCCATCCCTTTTCATCTAAAAACCTCATAGCTAAACTTCACAATTTTTATAGTAAGTATTAGCTTGTGTGGCTGGTGTATTTGCTTTATCTTTTTCCAATTTGAATGCTGAGTTGCCTTATATTCATGACTTTTCAAAGTAACTTCAAGTACTTTTTGAAATGAGATGCCCTACATTACAAAAAGACAACTAGCACATTCCCCTATTTGAGACTTTCTGGTCACTGTTTTTAATGTTGCTTTGCTTTTCAGACTCTTCTCTATGCATCCTACTTCTCTTCCTCTCTCAGACCATTAACTGTGAACAGTTTTGTACTCTTCCCCATTTGGGGAAAGGTTCATAAAATTAAATCCCAGACCTGGTAACTGGCATACCCTTCTTTTTTTTAATCAGCACTTTAGAATACACTAAAGTAAAATACATCTTAGGGGAGTTCAAAACCAGGGCTGTTCTTTATTGTGCATTTAAGGTACCATACTTAAGGGGATGACAACTCAGATCTAGATATTGTAACAACTCCACAATTGTACAATTTTAAAATTTGAGATGGACTATAAAGGGTCCCGTGCTAATAATATATTACAGCAACTTTTCAATGAATGCAAGTCAAGTGTCTTGAGAAAAGCATACTTTTTCTAACTTGCATAAAGATTATGAGCTATAAGAGACTCTGTTCTGAATCCCTGATTCCCAACAGCACTAGGAGCACCATCCTCCTGACCCCCAACCCAGCCTGACACCCTTTCTGCTGCTCTTAATCAAACACCGAGTTTTAGAGGACCCGCACAGCCCTTGTATCCAGATCTGACCTCCCCTCTCCAGTTTTCACACCACAGTGCTAGTCCTAACCCTCATGCTTTGTGGCTACTTTCTCAAATGTCCTTATCATTATTTTCCTTCTGAAGCTATTTTTTCTCATCTTTCTATCATTATTCTCATTTTGGATTATTTTCCTAAAATGGAGCCTTACAAGGTTCTTTTGAACATGAATCGAGATAATGGATGTCAAGGAAATTTGAAAATTGAAAAGCACTATACAAATATGGAAGCTATTATTTCTTATTATAGATTTCCATATTTGCATATATACAAAATTCCTATTTATAGTTATAGCTGACACTTCCACCGTGCGCCAGGGACTGTGCTAAGCACTGCATCTGCACTCTCATTTAATCCTGAAGCTCTGGAGAACCAGGTATGATTGTCACCCCAACCATGCAGATGTAAAAATGGAGGCTCCAAGAGGTCAAGGGAATGCGTACGGCCATTAAGCTGAGATGCAGGAACTGAGGCCTGAGCCAGCTGGCCGTCGTCAGGCTGCTTTTATCATGTCTCCCCCTTACCCAAGTCAGTGCTCCCCGACGGCCTCTCTAACGAAAGCAAACCCCGTTCACAGGCTTGAAGGTCTTGCAGCATTTAACCCCCTGGCCTGCCTGGGGTGTCAGTGGGTGCTTGCTGTGAAGCTGAGTGAACCCAAAGGTTCTTTCTTTTATTAGGTGTACTACATTCCATCTCCAGGTCTTCAAGGAATAAAACCTTTTAATTCACCTTTTCTAACGCATTTTCCCAGACTGTAAGATCTGACTAAAAACAAAATGAAATCCACTGAGCCTTAATATCAACAGGACTACTTCCAGAAAATTACTACATTTATTGAGTATTCACCGCATCCAGGTCAGGGCTTTACACACATGAACGAGTCAGGCCTTCACAGCAATCCTATGCGGGGACTGCCATTGACTCCTTTTTCAGATGAGGTAATTGCGATGAGGCTCAGATTGCAGAGCTGGTAAGAACAACGGGGCTGAATCTGAGCAGCCAAGCTCTGCACTTGGGGCTGTAACAGTACTCCAGGAGGCCCTGCATTTCTATTTCTACCACCACCCAGAGTGAGTGCCACACACTAGAGGGATAGAAAAGAAATGTAACCCATGGTCTTTTTCTTGAATTTACCATCTAGCCGAGAAATCTTTTCTTAAGGAAAAAGATTAGGAAGAAGATAATGCTAACACAGTAATTTTGGAGAGTGAACTACATCTGGTAGCAACATGGAGATAACTTTAGAACACCTGACTTGCAAGGAAAAGAATGACAGGAAATCTTATTTCCTAAAGCTATTTGGGCAGTCATGCAACATTTCTATACAACTATGCAGTCGTGTACCTTACATAATCATTTTACTACAGTGCTCCCATATTATTTGTTTCAACCTGCCTCTTTTCCTAGCCAGTATGTTCCATGTAGGTAGAAGTGATGACTAACATTCTCCTTTACGACCTATAAGAGCAGAGTCTGGTGTTCTGCAAGCAATGGACACTCCATGAATGGCAGATGGCAGAGGTGAAAATAAAAGCAGCATGCAGTAACTACTAGGACTATACCAGGGCAACTCAGGCTATTTTAAAATCACAAATAACATGAAACAGAATGGATATTTTTGAAGAAATAAAACATGGACAAGATCAGAGACTGAAGTAATGTATTCATGCTTGAGAAGCACTAGCCCAAGACATAGGTGCCAACACAGACTGATGTCACCCGGACCATTGACATTATTCTGATCCTTCAACTGTTCCCCAACTTGCCAAAGTATCCCTGAAAGGCAGCTAGCACCTGCCAGCCCCTGGCCACCAGCAACGCCACCAACACTCTCAGCCTCTGCCTTCTGCTGCAGGAGCACAGCCACCATGACTGGGGACGGAGTCGCTCCCCCTGGCAAAGCCAGCAATGAATTAAAGCTTCTGAACACATCCAGGTTAACTCTGAACTTACTTTACAGCTATAGTTCTAAACTATACTGCTTTTTTTTTTCCATAAAGTAAACTGGCACCCAAATGAAAACCGTTATTTCACATGCTTAAGGCTTCACTTTTTACCTAACCAGTACTGACCATGCCACAGAAGTTACACTTTAAAAGATATATTTATGCATAAAAAAGGACTGCACACCTGGAGAGCCTCCTGAGACCCAACATCTCACTGTCAAGAGTGTTCCTGGGAAAGCAGAAACAAACATTACATGTGAAGAGAACAAAACAAGCATATCAGAGGGTCATGTATAAACCAAATATGGTTGAGAAAAAGAGGATTATTCAATCCAAAGGATAAAAGATATTAAGAATACTTGAAACCTTTCAACATGGAAGGCAGCAGGTGGGTTTTTGGATAACAGGGTGGGGGAGAAGGATGCACTCCTAGAATGAAGAGAACATACCCACATTTATTTTTTTCACACCCTTTATACTAAAAAAAAATCAAGGGAAAGATAGAGCCATACTTGGGAGTCAAGTAGTACTTGGAAGTCAAGTAGTACTTGGAAAACTTGGCCCTGACTTGTCTGGATAGGTTTAACCTACCAAACTGCTGTGTTTGCCTGAATTCTGGAGAATTCTGTTTCTTTTTAAACATCTTACACACTACCTTCTAAAAGGCTTATTATGTTATTTCCTTTCTCATTGTCCAAAGTATAGGACTTGCTTCTCTCAACTTAACATCCACTCATGCCTATAAATCAAACCCTGGTGTGCCCTTTCATTTCTTTGGCTATGGTTTACACTTGTTCTCTTGTGTGTTTCCCTTTATTATACAAAACACTTCCTAGGAAGCCTGTTTGTAAAAAGACTTTTTTTCTGAAGTGGGATTTTTTTTTTTACTTTAGAAACATTAATACTTAGTTTTCTTTTTATGGGAGGTTTCAGAGTAGTAACTTTCATTTAATCTGCTTGGGTTGTCCCACAAACTTCAAGTAGACGCAGAGACAAGTAATTTTTAAGGATGTGGTCTGGGTAATGCTTCCTTAGACCTGTCTTCTTAAGACTCTACGGGTGTAAGAGCTCTGTCCGCCTTCCGTGCGGCACTGGCGGCACCATCGCTTTTCCCTCCGTTACCTTCTTTTGCCTGGGAAGTTTTTATCTTTGATTGGTGACTGAGCTGGAAAACACAGGTGATGCTGTAGTGGTTACATAATTACACTCAAAGATGTTCTTGATTTGATGTCTCTGATCTGGTTTCACATTTTTCCTCCGTTGTCCCTGGTATAACAAGGAATTAAGAACTTGGAAGGACGAAGTTCACAGGCCAGTGACGGAGGAGACTGACATCTCAGGGTGCACCATCAATTCAGTTACCACAGCATAGAAGAGCAAAGCTACTTTCAAAGCTAAAACAATTTTCCCAAATGCTATTTACAAGAGGGAAAGACAGGACAGCTTCTCTTTTCTAAACCACTTTTTTAAAACCTCTGATTTGACTGGATCTATTAATGTATGAGCAGAAGTGTGTCAACAGTTACCATGACTTCTGCATTCAGCTCTGAATGCGTCAAACCCGCTATTCGCGATTAGTTTATTCCTTGTTTCAGGGATCCTCCCTGGACTGACTGCTGCTACAAAGATGGTAGGACAGTGAAGGCTGAGGGAGAACATGGTGTTCCACACAGATCAAGCCAGAGAAACTCCGTGCAGGAGGCCCAGACAAAAGAGATGGTCTTGTATGATTCTTTACAGGAGTCCAGCTTCAGAACCTCATAGTAAGGTCCCCTTCCACAAAACCCGTGAGAGAAAGGAAGGGTAGGGAAGTTGAAAGAAAGATTAGAGAGAAAAAAAATCAATCTAGCTTAACATATTATGAACTACAAGAAGTTATGACTTGGTATTTTACAATCTGACATCCTTTGAATGGTTAATAAAGATCTGATTAATGAGGAAAAACAAAGCATAAGAGTAATTACTCACTCACTTCACTGCAGCAGTAGTACCGAATTTTTGATAATTCACCATGTAGAAATTACATAACCTAGATTAAGCGGCACTCTTAAAATGCCACATTAAAACAAAATAATCTGCACAGCAAAAAGAATAACATGTTCTAACATGTTTTGCCAAGCTACATTAAGTAACTGTCATTGTTAAAAGCAATATGGTATTTGTACCAAAAAAGTGCTAACTGTACAACTTACAAATGAATTCTAAAAACATGTCATCAAATGTTCAAAGCTTTTAAGAGAATTCATACTTTGTAACTGAAAAGAATTTTTTTCCTGCACTTAATCTAAAGCCAGGAGAAGCCGAGAAGCTGTCCCCAGCTCTAAGAAAAGCATATACCTTTTTCTTTTGGCACTTCCAGCGTCAGAGGGGGCTGATGAAATCATGCTGTCCCCGTCCTCGATGTCATCTCTCCTGGCAAGCTCCTTCTTCTTTGCCTGAAACACAGCAGATCCCGGTAGTCAAGCTCCCTCTATGGAACACTCCTAGAGAATATGGATATTACAGAGCTAGCCATGCCAGATTCACCCAGAAAGACACAACCACGCGTAGGACATAAAAAATTCAAGTCTTTAAACATTTTCAATAACCCAATTTAACAAAACCCTACATGACAGAAAATTAGGTTAAAAAATGGATGCAGAGAGCTGAGGGATTAACACGAGCTAAACTATACTCAAGGCCACAAAGGGAATCGCCTTGCTGAGAGCATGGAGGCAGGCTGCAGGGTGGCCCCTTCTGGAGTAAAGCCTCTTGTATGTGAAGACGGCCTTTGGGACTCTGGACTTCTTAGGCAACAGTGTGACTAAGAAGAAAGTTTCATGTGAGAGGTGAAAGAAGATCTTATTTTCAGCACATTCATTTTTAAAGACCTTCTGCCTAGCAGAAGAAAGTCCAACCACATACAGGGAACACATACCGAGTACCAAAAAGGAGATCCTTGAAATCCAGTGCTGACTTCACGAAATGAAGATTCTGAAGGTGATCTAAAATTGCTTTCGTTGCTTCCTTGCTCTAAGATTCTCTTCCCAGAAAGGTTCTACCGAAAGCTGACAGGTAGACAGAGTTTGTATTTCCTATGTACGCCTTGTCTCAAAACCCCTAGGTGACCTGTATGACCTGAGACACCCTCCTAAGTGTGCTCTCAGAAAGGATCTGAGAAACTCACAGGCATTGCACAATGACTAATTAGCCCCAAGATGTCCTTTCTCCTAGGGCCCATTTCACCTTATCAGAGACAAAATCGAGAACCAAAGAAATAAAATCTAAATGACAGAAAATCATGTGTAATTGAGGGGAAACTTCCTAAGAACTATGAAATTACTCCCAGGGACAAATCTCTGCATCCTCCCCTTCCAGGGCCAACCCAATCTAAACTACTACTTCTAATCTACATGGTCCTGATAACTCTAAAAAAAACCTGGCAGTACTTGTGGTTGAAATGGATAATGTGTAACGCTGGGAGAAATCACACATCTTAAAAGAACATACTCAAAATTTGTAAAATTATTTCAATTATACATACAGTTTAGCAAAACCAAAAATTCCTACCTGCATGACTTGTTGCAATTTTAGAACTCGCTTATAGATGGCTGAATTGGGAACATTATAGCGCTTGGCATTTTCAAACATTAAATTCAGATCACACTCCAAATGATCTAAAGTTTCATATTCTTGGTTCTTTAGCTTGGTTCTGTGGAAGACAAACACTTGGCTAGACTTCCCCATTATGAAAATATTATACACCCTTCCCGAAAGTCCAGGGCAAAAAAGCCCGACGAGCAGTAGAGGGTGTCTTTACTGTTGATGCGGATCAGAGGCCTGCAGGTAACACTTTCAAGATTAAAGTGCGGAAGCAAAAGAACTATGACATTTAGACAATATGGCAGCTGAATTGAAAATCCAAAAGAATAAATTAAAACACTGTAAGTAGTAAGAGGACTGGTAAGGTGGTTAATTACAAAGCAAAAATCCTAGTGAGAACACCCTAGTGCAAACCCCAGAAAGAGACAAAAATCAGGGAAATGTTAAGCTACCTTAATGAAGAATCATGGTCATCTACCCATTTCTGAGAATAAGATGCTATTCCAGTTCACAAGGGTTAAAGAAAAGAGGAAGTCCTGGCAATACCATGAAGGAGCATTCAGAATAATATATTTACCTCCAGGGTGTTCTGTATGGACAGTGAAGTGAAGTTGTCTTAAGATAGTAAATGAGAGGTGGGTATGTAGAGTCCATTTACTACTGTCTCCCATACAAACACCTGTAGTTAATTATGATGGCTTAAAATAGAGGTTTGCTTACCTTACTGAAAAGTCTTAAGAATTCCAGTATCTCCCTCAGATACTATGGCTAGTACCAACACTGAGTCTCCTAAAGCCTCTATACACTTTGTACAAAGTGAAGTCACAGTTTGCCCTAACTCTGGATGGCTTTAGACAGGTTGTACTTTCAAATTTTGACTGAAGCACTTGTACACTATTCATCAAAATCACAAAAGGAGTATTAAGAACCATGATGTACGTAAACAGTCTCACAGAATGAATGTAGAGATTCCAGACTTTTCTCTTAGAACAATCATCTATTCTGCATGTAAACTTTTACTTAAAATTCATCAAAACCACATGCAGATTCCATGTAATGCTTACAGAGATATGAATGTTAGGGAACATCTCTGGAAAGAAGCAAAAAAAACCAACTAAGCACAAACTCAGCTCTCACCCCAGCTGTGCAGTTAGCATCCAGAGTTCCAGTTACAGCCTCAGATGCATTCCTGCCAACTCCAAGAGTAATGTGCTGGGTGTCCTCAACATCCACAAAGACCAGAAAACCCAGACTTGTAAATGATACTAGAATCCATCTGCAGGTATTTATCAGATGGATGTTAATCAAGGAGGGAAGGGAAAAATGGGAGATAAAGTATGGAAAAGACAAGCCTCAGCACAATGGAAGGTGGCACATGGAGTCACGCTGTCTAGCTCCTGCTCACTATTCCATTTTTTGTTGCTTTTGATGACACCCAACTATCCTCCTTCTGCCAACAAGTCTTCCTAGGACTGTGCTATACAATACAGTGGCCACTAGCCACATGTGGCTATTTAAGTCAGAACTAGGCAGAATTAAAATCTAAATCTACTTCCTTAGTTGCACTGGCCACATTACAAGAGCCCAGCAAGTCCCATGTAACTCGTGGCTGCTGTAGTGGACAGTATGGATAAAGCAACATTCCCACCATCACAGAAGTCCTCCTGGACTGTACTGCTGCTCTGGTGGGGAGCACAAGGGAACTCCTGTTGGGCACCCCGGCTTGGCATTTGTGCCTGGAAGGAGGAAGATTACACATCCTAAGAGTTGACCCTTCAGAAGCTGAGTGTGCTACTGCCAGTCCTGCATCCCTCACACTCCCGTACCCGTGTTCCAGACAGCTGTCAGAATCCACTTAAAAGGAGGGAGGGGTGCAGAATTATTGGTCTAACAAAGCAAGTTTATATTGGAAAATTCTAACTTGGAAGAAGGTTGTAAGTAGGTGATTGACTTGGCTGAAGATCTGTCTTCTTTTGAACTAAATTAACTAAATTAAAAAAAAAAAAGACTGAGGGAGAAAAGAAACTAAGGACAAAAATTGTTCGATTAAAAGGGAACCTTTCACTATCTACGAGACTGTCATGAGCTTTTCCAAGCCAAAGATTTTAAAAGATAAATTTTTAGGCTATTTTCTTAATGAATGGCATACTTAATTTGCACGTTATTTTAAGAGGGCCAAATAAACTGATTTTCTATGTCCTACTTGTATACAAAATCTCCACAGTTTGGGTTAAATGAAAACATGAATCTTATTGACCAAATGATGAAAAGAAAGTTACAAATGCAAAACCATGAAACACACATTGTTAGCCACCCTTCCAAGGATCCAGCAAGGACCAGAATTATCTCCCTGACCTGGCCCAGGTAAGATATTTAACCTTCATCCTGTCTCTATCCAGTACACTGGGAAACCCACACTGCGGCATTACAAAACATCCTATTTCATAATACTACTAATTTCCTACTATTTTTAATGATACCATGGTGGTTTAAGTATTCTGTCTGGCTGAATTCCCAATGATCACTTTAACATTTTCTGAACAGAAAAGGGAAACCAAGATGACACACCTTTCAGGCATTGTTTCAGCTAACGAATTCCCTACCAGCTGACAGTGCTTATTCTGGGGGTTCAACCACAGGTACAAAATTTAAATACAGATGAACTGTTGGAATTAAAATATCAATAAAAAGTACAGGCAGAAAGATTTTGTACTTTGCTCAGTTGTTAGAAAATGAAGGGCTAAATTTTGAGCTGCATGACTTTTATAACCTCTAATCGGACACATGAATGCCTCGCTGGAACAGCTTCTGTTTTTTGCCTCTTGACTCTATTGCAGGAAAAAGAATATCATTTGTATTTAATCAAATTATTTCTCACTTTTCTTACAGGAGTGATATTCAAGCATTGTCAAGAGATGTGAAAAACATTTCCACCTTCAGTACCCTATCTATTTTAGGAAGGAAGATGTGTGCAGGCCCAATCACAAGGAAACAGATTCATACTGAGTAATGTAAAAGATATCTTACCTGATTTGTTGTAGTGATATGGGCATTTTAATTTGCTGGTAATAATCAGGGTATTTTTTCTTTGAAGGCAAGTGGAAAAAGGGTTCAGCTATCAGCTGCCCTTGGTTATTCCGACAGCTCCTAACTGTGTCATAAAGCTGATAAAAAGGATTTGAAACATCCATAAAAGACGTGATGCTCTCTGCTTCTGACTCTCCTTCTTCATAACGTGCAGCTGGAAAGACAAAGAACATTTCTAAGGGGAAAAAAGTAGCATACTTTAAAGCTCTTTAAACAAACTTTCAGATTAAGCTATATACATTTGAGAATACTTATTTTAAAAGAGTAGTCTCTAGCATTCATTAAAAATGATATTAGTAGTGCCTAATGTAATTCTAAGTTTACTTAGAGAAATGTTACATAGAAATAAAATAGAACTAGAAGAGAACATAACTAGAAAAAAGTACACTGTTTTAAAAGGTCACGAGTAGTTTCTCTTTTTTTAAATGCGACGTCTGCACAGACTTCTTGCTTAGTAAAGGAGCAGGTAGCCATTCACAGACCTCAGGACTAATGCAATGGCATGTAGTTTAGGGCCGATCCTGGCAGACTTCATTTCCTTAAATCTCTGTGACTTTTCCCCCTCATCTATATCACCCCTCAGGAATGATGTCTTCCCTTAATGAGGAAATTTTTAGGTAGAAGCTAATCATTAAAATACCCAAACAAAATATACAATCATTTTTATAGAAATATAAAATATATTGCCCATTTTCCTAAATTCTTAAATGTGTAAAAGGACAATAATTTAAATTTTTCTTCATGAATCAGGAAAACCAAAATCCTTGTGTGTTCCCAGGTAAGAATGACCATCATTTACTGAGTACTTATGTGTTAGAAGCTTAACAGGCACCAGCTTCAGGTAATTCTAATACCACACAGAACAGTTACTGTAACTTCTCCAAGTGAGAAAACTGGGCATGAGAGGTTGATGGCTTGCCCAAGGTCAGCCAGCCTGTAAAGCAGGAGAGGAGATTTGGACCTCGTTATCCAGCTAGAAAAAAAAGACAGGATTTGAAACTGGTCTTTTCTGACTCCACTAGCCCTGATCTTTTCCGTAAAGAACTTGCACATCTTTTGTTGGATTTATACCTAAATATAAGTTTTGTTGCTACTGTAGACTTTTATCTTTGAAAAAACTATACTATTTGTGGCTGATTCAAGAAATAATTTTTGTATAGTGATCTTCTGTCTAGCACCTTATTTTTATTAATTGTAATAACTTACCTGTACAGTCTCTTGAGTAGAAAAGTCAAAAAACAATCTAACAGTTGCAACCCTTTAAAATCTTTTCTGATTCATATACCTTCATTGCTGACACAGTAGTAGGCTGGCTAGTACTTTGACCAAAAGAGGTTATATTTTTACTTTGCTTCTTATGGTAAG